CTAAAATAACTTTAGCCTAGCACCCTGATAAATGCCCGTGGACGGGACCTGCAGGAATGGCAGAGTTGAATTGTAAACAGAAGGGGATTGGTGGCCGACTGTAGGCTAACGCACACCAGCGATCGGAGCATGTGGAGCGAAAGCTCGCGCTGCAGGATCTAGGGATCCGGCGTTCAATACACATCCCAGCCGTTTCAAAATAGATAAGCGTCGTACCGGCGTGCGGTCGTATGTCACTATACTGCGTTGTGCTCGTTAAAGACCCTGCAGACTAACAGTTGTACTGCACTGGCTAAATTTCTCGTGTAGAGCTGTATAAACCCACTCATAACATTATTATTCATTAATATTATTCCAAAGATAAATAAAGAGAACTCGGAAACAATTTTAATAATAATCACAAACTTTTTTTTTATATAGCTTGCTGTTTTGACGAACACTCACAGAGTACGTGTGGTCACGGCGCAAGTAAATTTACGGCTCGCGCTTCCAAAAGACGTCCCCCAACTTTCTTTTTTATAGCTTGCAGTTATGACGAACATTCACAGAGTACCTGTTGTCACGGCGCAAGTAAATCCCTTTACGCCTCGCGCTACTGAAGAACGTTCCCCAACAATCCCTCGACTGGCCCGTCAAGGCGGCGGCATGCATATGATTGCGATGCGTCTAATGGTCACAGGAAGAAGAAAAGACTGCACATATCTCGTTTTCATCTTTAACTGGGTGCTTAGAACTGCATTTTTGTTTTTACAACGAAGACAAAACAAAACGAGCAAGCACACTCTGGGTCTAAGACCGCATGCAGCCTCAAACTGTTCGTACACCATACAGAAGACGCGGAGTTTCTCCGCAGACATAATGAGAGAAATATCCGCAGATACGGCTCAGAAATGTCCGAAGCATGTCTTGCTTTGTACATAGGTATGCTTTCGAACATGCCCGCAGTTCTTACGACCAACATGACGAGACCGTCGTACAAGAAATGAAAACGCTTCAGACAGCGTCTGCAGCTGATTTCTTGTTTACCGCATTAATATACTCCAAAAAAAAAAAAAAAAGCTTGTGCGTCTACTTTTCCGCACAACACCTCGGAGAGCCAATCTCCGCAACTTATGGAGGCGCTCAGGGAATGACGATGCCGAAACACATGTTTAGATTAAAAAGCGCAGTGTGAATTGTGACATTAAACAATGCAAAACGTCACGCTTCCATTGCTTAATGTCACAACTCAGACTGAGTTTTTTGTTCTAAGCATATGTTTCCGCATCGTCATTCCCTGAGCCGCGTCCGTAAGTTGCGGTGATTGGATTTCCATGTTTTATGCTGGAAAGTAGACGCACGGGCTTTTATTAGAGTGTAAACGTTACCTAAGCCATCTATCGGGGCAAAACACGTTCAATACACAAATGGCTACAGTATATGTCTTCGGTATCCCGTTGGAATATGCGTGATGTCCGTGAGCACCCTCGTAAAGCACAATCATGTTCCCACACACGCGGCATGTAGTACTCGCTCCGGTCTGCGCTGTTATTCTCGGCCTCACGATATTCCGGCACCATAAACGAACGCCGGTTATTCGTTGTGAGCTGTTATTGTAGCAAAGGGACGGGATCGAGTTGATTTTCGCCGACTTCCTTTTTGTCGTATGTTTGTTTTACCTCGTTGCTCGTCTATCCTCCTTATATTTTCCACCCTCTCTCGCGAAAGATTCACCTTTATTACATCACTTTCATAACTTACTTAAAGAGTGAAAGGAGGGGTGAATGCATGCCCGCCCTCTTGCCATGGCTCCGAGCTGTTGTCCCGCCAACGTCCTTGATATTTGCGTAATTTATTTATCCTCACGGCAGCATGGCCCCCGTGTGTGCTTTGAATTTGGAACGCCGGCTGGCAGATTATTCCAGGCTCTCTGTTTTCTTCTTGTCTGTCTCTAAACAACTCGCGATGGAGAACACTTTTTAAATAAAGCCCTCGGGGGCAAAGAAAGCTTCTTCGAGAAGGAAGCCGGTTGCGTGTTCTATATGGACACTTGTATATACACCTTTAAAAAATTGGTATTTTATCTTTGAAGTTTATTGGGAAGACGACGGAAATGATTGCGTTGTTCCCGCCGCTCGTTTGCTTTTTCAAAACGAGGAAGGTGCAAGAAGCGATTCCGCGCATTGCGTACATGTTGTTTAGTAACAAATAAGCCGCCGGTCTTTGAACAAGGTGGTGCAATTTGTTTAAAAAAAAAAAAGATGTTGAAATAACTTTTGTTTAAAATGAGAGCACACTTGGTTAGTTCGTATTCGAATCTCAGATATCAGACGTCAATACTTAAGATGCAGCTTGCATTTTGTTTCTGCTTCGTCTGATTATTTTTTTTAAGCAGGTCTTGCTGCTGGTTTGGGAGGGAAGTTGCTAAGGTGATAATTTATTTTAGACATGAAAAAACGCACACACACATGAAAGGAAGGATTGATAAACGGCTTCACCCCTTCAAGCAGCAACCTCCCTTTGGACCACTAATACCCCATTAACACGATCAAAAAGGTACATATTGGTACCTCTTCGATCCTGTGGATATCCTCCTGTTAAGTGCGTCCTTCTGTTATGTGTGTCCCTCCAGCCATTGCACTGAAATCGAAAGCAGCCTTCCATCAGTCACCATTGGGTAATGATTGCAATGTCCGAGTCCCACTATAGAGACAAACAGATACAACAGACACCGACAAGCCTCCAACTCACGCATCATACACGCGAAGATATCTTTGGCAGGCTTGCATCCACTCCTGTTCACTTTACGAGCACCTAGACTGCAAGCTTACGAAAGGTACTATCGCTTGCATGCTGCACGTGTTTGAGCTATGGTTTGAAGCTTGTCGGTGTCTTTTGTTTCCGTTTGTCTGCCTCTAGTGGGACTTGGGCACTCTAGACAAAAGTGTTTGATTGCTAAAGATGCGCTAAAGAAGTACCTGATCTCCACGTTTCAGAGCGGTAACGATAGATCTCCGTACTTCAAATATTTTAAAACAACTCATAGAATTAGAATGCACGCGTTGCTTTACCGTATGACACACAATTAAAAATGTATCGAAAATTGCCCTGCGATTGTCTTGCTACGTGAAACGTTTTAGTTCGTTACCTCCAGGAATTGCTTGTCGAGCTGTGCCTCCAGGCCTCTTCACTCCTCTCCACCAATTGACTCCACCCACTCCTCTCCACCCCATTGACTCCTGCCCAGTTCATTGATTGATTGACCCATTCACTTCTACCGTCGGGTCGGCCTGTGTCCCAGAGTGTAAGGAAAGACGGGTAGCGGATAAAGTGACTGTATGTGTTGGTCACGCGACGTCAATTTTCCAGCTAATCTAGCAGGGAAACGTAAATTTTTCCGCTGAATTTAGCGGGGAACCACAATTGGTGTAAAGGTCACGTGACATGAAGTCATCTGGCACAAATTTTCCCGCTACATTTAGCCAGGAAACTGAATCTGTGTTGAGGTCACGTGACGTCAATTTTCCCGCTAAATCTAGCGGGGAAACTGAATTTGTGTATAGGCCACGTTACATGAGGCCATGTGACTTCATTTTACTCCCTAAATTTAGCGAGAAAATTTGCGGTAACGCGTATTAAGGCTTCACTTCACCCGAAAACCTAGCTAGCTATAGGCTAATATTCATTTGCCTCCCTTTTGTGTGCCGACCGAGACTTAACCGCGTTTCAATCAAAAGCTCGACAAGCGATCGGGTTGCGCCCGACGGCATTTTGTCATTCATGAAATGAGCCTTAACCAACTCCGCCTTTCCGTAGCTGTCGGTATAGTCGCCGTAGAAAACAGCACCTTCTCAGAGGGCGTTTCAACCTCGCGAAATGGAAAACTGCCACAGCTGCTGTGGCCCAGGGGAGCGAATCACAGCGTTTAGGTTTAAGTCAGCGCTCGGTCCGTGTGTTCCTCGCTCTTTTTCTTCCGTACTTTTGGCGCAGTTTCCTTCTTCGTAACTGCATAACCAACTCGCCCAATTGTCAACGGTTTAAGTTAAACACGTAATAACGTCTAGTGAGAGCGAACTTATGCAGTGAAATGGACTCACGCGGACCGTCATTTGCTCTTTTCCGGATCAAGCTGAGCTAAGTGTAATCGCTGTAGTAAAGGCTAGGCTTCGCTGCAGCGCACTGATGCGCGAGGTGAAGCGGCGCTGGAAACCGTGCTTCGAAACGGGCCATATGAGATTAGACATATTAATTGCACGCTGCATAGAATGTACGATGACACACACTTAAACATTATGTTTATTAGGGTTATCTAATGAAACAGGTATGTTGTCCTAAGATAACAAAATATTAAGAACTAAGATGAAATCCTTCATCTTGATGGTTTCACTCACAAAAACGACATGCACCAAAAAGCTTATCGTCATGATGAGGGGTTTCCCCAGAAATTAAAACTAGGGGGGGGGGGGGGGGGGGGGGTTACACCCCCGTAGGGGGAGGGGGGGGGGGGTGTGTAGGGAAATTGCTGGTCATGACGCCAGTCGTCTTTGCGCGTTCGCTATTTAACCGGCTGAAACAATGACGCAGAGTAAATGCAGCGTGATCCTGCATTTTTTTTCCTTTTCGTGATTGGTGTTGCGGCTGTTAGAAAACGCACAAAAACGACGAGTGCCATGACGATGAACTTCTGGCTCTGCCTGATTAGCATCCGAAAGAAGCATAAAAATAATCATAATTGTTCTTTGGGGCTAGGCTGTTTCAACCCATAAATTCATATGGTCACCAATAATTTCTACTTTGTCGAACGGCTAATGCATAAATCGTGTTGTCATGTATTACCTTTCAACAATTTATAATAAAAACGGGTATTTTCAATAAAAAAAAACATTAAATATGCAAACAAACAAACAGAAGTTTGTAACGAAAATTTAAGGATTAAAATATTGGGACAAATAAAACAACACGAAGTAAGAACCCAGTCGGTGTTTATGTATACCACGTCTCTGCCAATCTCAACACAGGCGTAACCAAACACCAACTTTTATTCTACACAAGCAACTCGCTCTAGAGTTCCAACACAGTTCTGCAGGGCGCTTGCGCTGCCAAATCACGGATCGACCCCCTTACGACGTATCGCATCTTCCAACTTCTCAAACTCTTTGGTCGCCACTTTGTCCGCCTCGTCCAAGACTTGCTCGACGTCTTTCACCTCGGGAACGTAAAACTGGAGCATGTTCTGAATCCCGGCCTTGAGCGTCACCGACGAGCTGGGACAACCGGTGCACGAACCCTGCAGCTTCAGTTTGACGACGCCATCTTCGAAGCCCATGTAGACGATGTCGCCGCCGTCCTCCTGAACCGTCGGTCGGATCCGCGTCTCGATCAACTCCTTGATCATCAAGACGGTCTCACTGTCGTCCTCTTTGGGTCGCGTGTCTTCGGCCACGGGTTCGGTGCCGTCTTCGTTCACCACGGGCAGTCCCGTCGTGAAGAAGTCCATGATCGCCGCGTACAGGTGCGGTTTGAGCACCTGCCATTCTGTCTCGTCGTCCGCTTTGGTAACCGTGATGAAGTCCGGGCCGAAAAAGACGGCTTTGACGCCCTCGACGCGAAAGAGGTGCTTGGCCAGCGGCGAGTCTTTCGCGCTCGCTAGCGTCGGAAAATCTCTGGTGCCCTGCTCGAGCACTTTTACGTTCGGGAGAAACTTGAGGCAGTTCGGGTTCGGCGTCTCTTGGGTTTGGATGAACATGCGGGATATCCACGAAGTCCTGAACCCGCGCCGTTCGGATTCGGAGACGCGGCTTGCATTGCTGCGTAGCACCTCGCTGGCTTGGCCACGGAAAACGCTCAGGTAGCGGCCGCCCCAACTCGCGACGATGCGGGCCGCCATATTTTCGTGCGTTTTCAGGTTCGCTGGCGCCCTCTGTGATCGGTCATCGGAAGCGCCTCACTTTTCGTTAAAGTAATCCTGTTTTTGGAACAAATCTATGCACATGTAATGAATGGGCTTAGTAATAAACCGTAGTAAATATATTGTTATCAATTAATAAAAATATGACGAACGAAACTTGCTTATGTTGAATAGGCGGCGCTCGTGAGGGGCCCAGCTTCAAAATGGCGTTCCCCATAGGTGCGTTCAGCATGTGCGTGTTTATTCCCCGGTTGCTTCATTTGGACTCGTAATTTCTTGGGATATGCTAAACCTTTCCGTATCTTTGTGACGGAGACGCTCTACACGCTTAAAGATTAGATGTGCGTTAGAGAATAAGCGTTATTACAGTCAGCTCACATCCGTGAGCGCCATTTGAGTGACATGTTGCCGGTGGTGAGACCGCTGTTTCGGAATTCATCATCGTTTTCCGGCAGTGTTCTGCGATCTTTAACAACCTGGTCCCGTTTGGCGTCGTGCTTCAACAGCATCGGCGTGAAGAAGCCGAACCTCAATCTTGGGTTTGGTGAACGAACGGTAAGTACCGGCTGTTCCATTGCTCTCTGATCAACCGCTGATGGAAAACCTTGCCTGTTGACACCTAAACACTTCCAATAAGATATGATCGAGAAGTTACACTGACGCGTTCTATAGACCTCGTAATGCATGCTTCGCAGATGGATCTTGCACTATTATGTATTTAAAGTTGTGAGAAATTATGTTATTCGATTTTTCGTTCTATATTTCAGGGCTTGTTCGATCACTCGGTGTTGCGCGAGCCTAATGGCTTCTACCTGTTGAAGGAGCAGGCGATCCAAGATGCAGAGACTTACGTTGACGAAGCCACAGATTCGAACAGAAGTCGGAAGATGGTTCAGGTTTTCGACGACTTGTCCGACGCTCTTTGTAGAATCGCAGACATGGTACGTGCTTTTGATGCTTCTCCGTCTGAATCGATGTAGAAGTGCGAAATAAAATTTTAAGCGGATCCAATTCGGGATAGTCAGGCTGAACTTTTGACATGCGTGTAAGAAAGACACTGTAGAAGTTTGTCTAAATATAAACTGGACGTGAGAATCTTTGCTTCATCCAAAGGCATGTAATTCGTTCATCCTTTTTGCCGAACCCATGCAGATAATTGTGATAATAATAATAATAATAATAATAATGATGATGATGATGATGATGATGAGGTACTTGGTCAACATGGACACATGTGTATCTTGGGGGCGGTGGAGGAAAGCTCACCAAAGAAAAGCTCACTGCAAAACTGTTGGATGCAGAGAAAAGATCACATACGAATCTAAGGATCGTGCATTCACTCAAGTGAAATATGTTCACTCAACTGAAGTATGCTTCATGCATATGTGGTTATTCTGAGCTTGACTGGCAGAATTTATTTTTAGAATATAAAAACGTCTTGTAGCACGTCTGGCCTTGTCCGATGAAAATAAAAATAATTTCAACAAAACGGTAATAAAAAAAAAATAATGGGGGAAATATAACCAGGGTAGTGTGCTGCAGCTTGAGTAGTTTCTGGATATTTATTTATGAATTTATTTAAAAAAAAGTATAATATATATATATACTTTTTTTTTTTTAAATTTACTGTTTGTTTATTTTTGATGCTTTCAATATGTGCCTATGCTCTGTATTTAAATCAAAGAATTGTCACACGGGAAAAATATATACCCAACTGAGCACAAGCAAAAAGAAGTGGTTTTGGGAGAAAATCGATGCGTTGAGCTTCATTTCTACCTTTGACTTTGTTCGTCAGTTATGTCGTGTCTTTTTGCAAGCAAACCAGGACGCAAAAGATAGAAACAAAAACTGGGAAAATAATGTCGTATTGCAAGGAAATCAGATTGTGAAAAAGAAAAGCAAATGCAGCTTTTGCTAACAAAAAAACTAAGCTGTGTTTTTCTAGTGTGGTGGGGGTTTTCATGAACGAAAGTTGTTAAAATTGCAGTAATTCTTTCCTCCGCATTGTTTTCATTGATTAGAAGAATTGATCAAACAATCTGCTATGTATAAAAATGCATATTGTCATAAATAATCAATATTTTTAAGCTACAGTGATATTAGTCCAATTTAAATGAATCAGACTTAAAAAAAAAATAAGAGATCTGAATTTTTAAAAATAATTTTTCCGCATTTTTTTTTTTTTTCAGCAGGGTGACCTGACATGAAGTGTGTACACTGTGTGACACTGTCAGCATAAACAAACAATGGGCTTCCTTTTTTTTTTCAGTTTAGTGGTTGTTTTTAAACTACTATTGTGGTGGAAATTGCTCATTCGGGTCAGAGACTTATGCGATAAAAGTTTAACGCTGATCAGCCCCTTCACTAAGTAAAATGCAGAAAATTGCTTCGCACTGTGTTGCCGGTGTACTGCCTGCGTGAGAGGTGCCAAAAACCTTGGTAGCACTACTGCTACTAAATGAGAACGATCACTTTACATAATAATTTAACTCGAGGTGAGCTTCTCTCCGGGTTTGTCAGAAGACCGGTGAGCTTTTCTCTTGACCCACATAAAGTGTATGAGCTTTTCTCCGGTGAGCTTTTCTCTGGTGAGCTTTTCTCCGCGATTCATATCTGGGCCGACTTGTAAAGCTGGAAGCTTGCAATTACTTTAGAAGATTGGTTAATGGAGACCGAGAAATCAAGTTTGTCATGGGGTTGCTTGAGCTAATAATAGTTTGCTCAACTTTTGAAGCTTGAAAATGTCTACAACTAAAACAGAACCATACAAAAAACCATCAGGATGAGTCATTTGATAGAGCAAGGGATAATTCCTTTTGTTGGCATCTTTCAGGGGTGCACAGCAACTTTTGTTGAGGTCGTACAAAAGTACTTTTTCATCCATCCAACTCCAGATCTGAAACTTTTTTTGTAGAATGCTCTCGGAGGCGGTTTGCCTTTTGCACTTTAAAGCGGGTCGTAGTCTTTTGACTGCATTGAATTTGTTTTGTTTGGTTTCCGTAGGCAGAGTTTGTCAGGATTGGCCATCCTGAGAACCGATTTTCATCCGCAGCATTAGATGCATCTGTTTCAATCAGCAACCTTGTGGAAAAGTGAGTCAAGTTTGAAAGTGTTCCCTAGATTTAAAATGTTCAAGCCTTATTTTCTTTGCTGAAAGCAAAGAAGCAATCGTTGCAATCTACTCTACTTTGTGATGCAGGCTGAACACGAACAAGAACCTCTACGAGGCGCTGAAGCATGTCACAGAACACGGAGACGTCGTGCCCACCACGGCAGAGGATGACTATGTTTCAAAACTATTTCTGTTTGATTTTGAGCAGAGTGGAATCCATCTTGATGCTGAAACTGTGAGCAATAGTTTATTAGTAGCAATTTAATTACAGATTAGGACTATGATATTGTATCTTGGGCAATGAGAAAGGGTATATGAAAAGTATTGTTTTATACATCTTTAATTATACCAACATATAACTGCAGTCACCAGTTGGACCTGTGTGTTTTTGTTGAGGCAGAATGAGTCTTAATCAAGATGCAATCCTCAACTCAAGTGGGACTGCAAGTGTTCTGTAGCTGTACATTTTGCCTTATATTTTAGACCATTTGCTTTGCCTTTCTTACGACATGCTAAAGTGCTTATTATATTAACTCTATCCGTAAGGGCTCCTCTTTAGTTTTGGTGAACTTTGGCATTTCAAAAACGTGTTTTGATGGAGAAAACTGCTTCATGTTTCAATAAAAAGCTTGCTTTGTGTAGCGAAGCACGTTGGATTTGACAAAATTCACGTAACCATATTTTGTATACTTAACAACATAAAAATGAGAATAGATTTTGTTGCGACATACCAAGTCACCCGGAACTGTCTTTGTAACTGCTACGACGCGTTTCAGAGGAAGAAAGTTGTGTCGCTGAATGACTACACCCTACATGTTGGCAGCTACTTCGCAAACAATGCACTGCAGGCTCGTGCAGTGAAGAAGTCTGAACTGCCCGAAAACATCCGCAGTTGGTAAGGCCCTCACCCCTTTGCACCTGCTTCCTTGCATGGATAAATTTAATTAGCTATGCTGTCTTTTTTTTGGGTAGTTTCTTCATTAAAAAAAAAAATGCAGGTGTTTTCTAACTTTGTATTTTTATACCCGTGCCACACGGGCAACCCAAATGCCATTTACAATGAATGACATTTGAATGATCGGCCAATTAGGGCGTGACACTCCGAGCGTGGGGCGTTCCACGCGCGACAGATCGCGAGCCGATTCGTCGATCACACGAATGTCATTCGTTGTAAATGGCATTTGAGTTGCTCGTGTCGCATGGGTATTCGATTTGGATAATCTTCTGCACCTTATCACCTTGTTGCAAAAATTGGCAGGTTAAATCCTGCCATTATACAATGGATTAAAATTAATACGATTAAATAAGTCAGTTCTTTTCTGAGTCCTTTCCTTTTTTGTTTTGTTTTCCCCTTAGCTTCGCCATCGAAGGTGACAACGTAATCGTTCCAGGCCTCTACGCTGATGCCAATAACGAACTGGTGAGCATTTCTTTCTTGTCCCTGCTTCCATACTTGCACTAATCCCTCACTGAAAGGTGTAAGGACCCGCTCCTTTCTTGGCAGTGTGTCGGCTTTTAAAGTGGCAGTTTCCTGAGCTACCAAAACAAAGTACAATTTCAAAATACCGAGGCTTTAGTCTTTCCGGCACGCTATTTATCATCTCTAAATTCAAAATAGCTATAGAGAAAACGGCAAATAAAGGTGATGCCAAAACCGACATCCAAATTTTTCTGCACTCTCACTCGGTCTTCAGTAAGGTGATGTTGCATGCTGCATAACTTGCAAGTCGAGCAGACAGCGCGACGTACACTTTGCGATTTTCCACTTTTGCCCGCCTCCTCTTTTCTTATATCATTTCCACATTTTACATTGCCCCAACTTGGCTTCCCTCACAGCTTAGGAGAGGGGAGCGCTAAGAGGATTATCTTCCCTGCAGAAAACCGAGGTTGTATGTCGGCCTTCAACCAGCATTTTTCTTGCGCCATCAGCCTTCTTGTAAACTGTCGGGAACAAGCTGCTCTGCCTCATATTGGCCCATATTACAACATGTGATGTCACATTTTAGTTTGGCCATTAGAGCCTTTCAGACCAAAATATAAGCTTCAATAACTTCGTGAAAAAAAAAAAAAAGATTCTACTTTGCTATTTGGGTTACTGGTTCAGGTGTGTCTATTAATGTGTCTAAGCAATTTTGAGGCAAATCAGTGGCTAAAAGTTACGAGTTCCCTTTCGAGAATGTCTTGCCTCCAGCTCTGCTTACTTTGGAGTCACAACTCTTTGTGAAAAAGACACAATGGGACATCATTCTCTTTTTTCTACTTTCCAAGCTGCGAGAGGCCGCCTACAGGGCCTACCTGTACCCAGACAAACACCAGAGCGAGCTGCTGGACGAGCTCTTGGCTGCACGGCACCAGTTGGCCGTGCTGTGTGGCTTCCCCACGTACGCGCATCGAGCGTTGCGGGGAAGCATCGCCGGGAGCCCCGACGGCGTTCGCGAGTTCCTGGGCATCCTCTCTGCACAGCTGAAGCCCAGGTGAGGGAATTGCTCGTTTTTGTTTATTTATTTATTTACTTGACAATGCTGCAAACTCCAAGGGGGTCCAGGCAGGAGAGGCACATCAACACAGGAAGCAAGATACACGTGTCCATTTTTTTTTGACATAAGTATTCAAAAGCACGCTTTGACGTTTCTTTTGTTACTTGTCATTCTTGTTCTTGGGTAGAGAGATTTCTTTTCTTGGGGATTGTATGGCTTGCACTATTGGGGAGGAGATTCAATGGCTGCACCCCAAGTGGCTAATTTCAGATCTACGCCTCTGGGGACAACAACAATGACGCGGCACTCGCCTGCCGTAGCCGAACACTGCGTCAGTGTTCAGCTGGGGCTCGCATCCTTTCGTTACTCGAGGACTGGATCTTTTATAGCCGCTCTGGCCTTCATGAAAGTATAGCATGCTTCATGCCTGTGACCAGTACCAGTTCGGCACAAAGGCCGAAGTGGGTCTAGATCGTATTTTCTGACAACTGATTTCACAAGAGATCTGGCTTGTCTCGCCCCGCCAACGTCGCTCCGTTTATTGTTGACACTTTTCACTTTACGTAAAGAATCACGTCCGCAAGCCTCGTGTTGGGTAAACACCGAGCTTTGGGGGAAAGCAAACTGGAAAGAGCACCGCTGATAGTTCAGTCTCCTCGCCACTACTCAGTTCCACCTTACGAAAGACTGACGCGGATGCTATGAGCCCTCCCAGCCATTCCACTGCTGTAAACGCATCATGGGACTACATGCCCCTTGCGTCACTGCACCCCTACTGATGGCCACGTGACCAGGTTACTTTCTCGTGGAATTGGGTTGGCTTCAATGATTCATAACATCCTCTGTGGTCCGTTGTAAGCTGCAACGAAGTATAAGAGAGATGGTTACACCCCTAACCTCCAGGAGCTTGTAGCCTTTTTTGTGTCAAAGATCCCTCCCCCTGTCTCTTTCCCCGACTTTCTTTTTTGGGGTTTTCATAATGAAATGGCTTGCAAGCTCTTGGGCTTCGCGGGCTATTTCCAAACCTGCCAGAATGTGCACATATTAGGGACAAAGTTGGGGATTGTTTGAATCAAGCAGGAAAAGATATATGAGTACCGTAATATCTCGAGTCATCGCCCACCCCCCTACCGCCTGAAATTCGTTAAAAAAGTGGGGTGGGCCATGTCTCGGTGGGTGAGCACAAACACTTAAAAAAAGCGCCTATTTTTCTCTGCGTATTTAGCGCTGATGCACAAGAGATACATCAAACTCAAAACTCGATTTAGTTTCATTGTTTTATAGAAAAATGCTCACGAAAGAATATTTTACTATAGCGAAGTCCGTTGCTTGCATACGCGCTAGAAACACCGCCGATCTGCATATAGCGCGAACGTTTGTTCCGTGAAAGAATGTCACCATTATATATCCTGGTTAGTAAAAAAAAAAAAGAAAGAAAAGTCTACAAGAAAATAGAAAAACCGATCAGGCGCAGCGAGCGAGCGAGCGAGCGAGCGAGCGGGCGGACCAAAGAAGCGACCAAGAGCATTGCTGGGACAGCGGAAAGCCGGCGGTCGCGTTGGCAAATACTTTGGCGTCGGGCCAAGTCGGGCGCCTTGTCAATTGCAAACTCTTGCGCAACTTGTTTGGTGCGTACATACGTGCGTCCGTGCACGGCGGGCTATCAATGCACGGTTGGGACGCTCTGCAAACGTCTGTGTAGGACGTTCCAGCAAAGCTTTATTTACGCTTTGGCTTTGCCTAAAATATTGCACAACCGCGGTCGCGATGGGCGGGAAGAAGGAGCGGGTTCGCGGTGACCTTACTTCGGCGGGGACAGACTTCGACCTAACACTCCGCGGTTACGTTAACAAACTCTTATTTTGTTATCTCCATCGTTTTCGCACGGATACACGACCACTTTGGGGTCGCTCACAGAGGAAATGCGTAAACAAAAAGAAGTGTCTTTCCCTCCTTCGTTTTACTTTGTCACGGACGTCCTCGAACTGTAAGGTCCGCGGCCGCGTCATTCGGGTAGGATGAGTGTTCGCTGATCGCAGAGTTTGCGCTGGGGTATTTGAAGGGGTGGGCGATGACTCGGTGTTTTTTCGGAAATCGATATTGGCCCAAAAAGTGGGGTGGGCGATGGCTCGAGGATGGGCGATGACTCGGGATATTACGGTAGAGGTACAGGTTTCATTCGAAAAGTCTTGGTGGGAAATATTTGAGTAGATTGTGTAACTTGTATTGCTTGGATGCGCATTCTATCTTTTTATTTTCTTGCTCAGCTACCGTGATTATTTATTCTAGGCATGTATTTTGCATGATTGGGATTGAGACCACACAGAGGAGGTCAGGTTTTTCTCAATGTCCTTCATCTATACTTTTTTTGCAAGTTGAACAGCCTTTAGGAGGTTTGTTTTCTAGGACTCCCATTAGGCATCTTCCCTCTTTTTAGGCATGTTGCTTTCCTTGACAGATTAGGCCTAACTACTCGTGCTGTATGGTGCCACAGCCTCTTCAGCTGATTTGCAATGTGTTGTTGCACTCCAGGGCCGAGCAGGACTATAAAGAAATGCTGAATATGAAGGCGTCCGGAAACAAGTCGGGGGCTGTAAGTGTACCTCTTATTCTAGCATTTCGGGCCAAGAAAGCCAGAGCAGGCATATACCGTATATACTCGTGTTATAAGCTGCCATTGTGTATAGCCCGCACCTCTCATTTTGGGATGCAAAAATTCAAAGAAAAATTTGAAAGGTGCCTAAAATGAATGTTTCGCCTATCACCGAGGGCCTAGTCCTGCAAAGCGCTACAAGGTGGTGCTAGCTAGTTTTTGCTATGAAAATGTAGAGCCCAGCAAAGGTACCTACATTATCACCTCTCACCATTGACCCCGTAAGTGATGACGTCACAACCTGGCGTCTGGGTCCAAACAAACCGTTGCTAGGGACGTTGCTATGGACTAGTGCATGGAATAATTGTTTTATTCTTTCTTCATCCATGACCAAAACCAACACGCTCTTCTCCCAAGCATAGTTTTTGCCATTCGCTGCATATCATTATTAGCATTATGCGACATGACACTTCCGCTGCTTCTGTTTTCCACGGCGACGTGCCAGCGTCATTTTGTCTTTGTTATAGCAGACAGTAATGGGTCATTTTGATTCTCTCGTTAGGGAGTAGCAGAAAAAGAAATGAGATCTCGTGATCTAGCTCCTCACGGGATACGGTGGTGAATAAATAAACGAAAAAATGCAATATATATATATTCTTTTTTTTTAAGTTTGGCTTTTGTATAAGCTGCATCTGAGCAGAATTAAAAAAAAAGATGCGGCTTACACTTGAGTGTATATGTTAGTGTGCAGGTATCTCACAAGGGGCATCTGTTTCAGGTGCTCCAGCCATGGGATGTCCCCTACTACACGTCACAAGCACGGCAAGCGAGGTGAGTTACATTGACCTGCACATCATACTCTCCCGCTGTTGCTAGTATTCTCCTTTGGTTTACTCTTTACTTCAAAATGTCTGGTGCGATGTAGGATAGGACATATTTTTACATTAGAAGATGTACCACCTCAGAGTTCACTAGCACCGTTTTACGGTTGACTGAAAATGTAGAGCCCAGCAAAGGTACCTACATTATCACCTCTCACCATTGACCCCGTAAGTGATGACGTCACAACCTGGCGTCTGGGTCCAAACAAACCGTTGCTAGGGACGTTGCTATGGACTAGTGCATGGAGACACCACATGAGGCTAGATTTTTGCTTACAAGTAAGTAAATCATTTTTTGTAAGCAACCAAACTCCTTGATGTCTAATTATGAAGATACAGTGTAGACCGCATATAACGTATGTCTCGGGAGTCGCGAAAATCCGCACTATAAGCGGTACCGCACTATAACCAAAACATCAATTTTTCAGGCCAAAATACATGCCATGAAACAACTTACCTTTGTAAAAGAATTTATTTTTATGTTAGATGAAAAATAAAGCTTTGTTTGAGGAAAGTCTTTATTTCACCAGACTAGTACAGTTCTGTCTCAAGTGTGTCACACATTTTGAAAGAAATGAGCGGCTTTTGCCTGGCGCAGCCTTTTAACGGCGTCGCGGGTTGCGGACGGACGTTGCGATCGTTCAGGATTGCTAACCCTAATCACTTTTCTCCGGAGATGAAAACGCGTGAAAATTCGCATCCTTCATACGGTACGCGCCAGTAATACCTTGAACTTGAGCACACGCATGAAATGCGCCAAATAAGAAATCCGGGCGATGTTCAAGGACACAAATGCTTAGAAATCACCACTGTAGTCGAGGTAAACAAACACGACGACACGGGCGTTTCTGCCGTCTTGAGAGCGCCGCCACGACATCGCCGCACGAGTAGGTGGATCTTCCCTTCTAGTACTATGTGCTGGGTTATCACAGCGACACACAACGAAAATTCACAGTCAAGGTAGCGCTTTTACGCAGAACGATGAGATGAACGCCGTCTACGACGACGATCACAACCGACGCCATGTTTACGGATAGAAGCAGCCGGCCCGCGACCGGAGAGGAGGAGGAGGAGGAGAAGCGTTGTAAGAGAGGTTGGGGGGGAAAGGAGAGAGCATGCAACGCGCGCGAACACTTCTCCTCGACCTGCGATTGGTCTGTCGTTGCGGTTGTTTGTTTCTTTGTTTCCAACGCAGCGGAGGGACGCACGCACGTGAACGACACGTGCGTGCGTCCCTCCGTCGCTAAGGCAACTAAAGCCTCTCTCTTCGCTTCTGCCCGCTTTTTTGAGCAACATCCTTGCCCCGCTAGTGCAGCGTGCGGCTCGCGCCGTCAACGCAGTTATCTAGTGTCGCACAGGGAAGCGAGCTCGCTGCTCCAGTCGTCGGCGCGGTCGGCGGGCTCTGCCAAAAACCGCACTATAACCGGTATTTCCCTTCGCGCGCCTGCATTTTAAGCGGTATGTAATTACATGGAGTTCTATGGGAGGTGAACCGGTGGTTTAAAAAAACCGCGTTATACCCGGTCCTGCACTATAAGCGGTTACGTTGTAAGTGGTCTATACTGTATTCTTGTCGTCTCAGTGTCGTATTGCAACAATGAAAGCCATTTCTGAAGTATTACACTCCGCTTTGCTTTGGTAGCAGACGGCATATGATAGATTTGCTGGCCTCTGTTGCAGTGGGCGTCTTCAATTGCGCCGGTAAACAAGCGACAAAAATGATTGCATTGCCGTCGCCGCGTAGAGACGTCCGCAATGTGCGTTTTTTTCTGTGAAAAACCCAGCTTAGTTCAGAGGGTGAAAGTGCCGTAAAATCAAACCACGTCATGCAGATCATTTATGAACACGACCTGAAGTGCATTACCGGCGTAATGCAGGCCAGTATCAGAAACAAATCGTACGCCGTCAAGGTAATTCGTTTATTATTATTATTATTATTGAGGTTGTCAGGTTGTTAAAGAATTCCATGTCTATCGCGATTTTTCAGTAACCATTGCAGCGATGGTTACAACCAGGTACGACTCACCCTCAGCGCGAGTCCACAAACAAAATTTGGGATCTCGACCGATCGCCTGAAGTGCTTTTCTCACGGGTCCAATGCTATCTTTTAGCAGACGATAATCTCGATCGACACCCGGACTTTCGATACACCATATTTTGCATGGAACCCCACTATGAGTTCTATTAAGTTACTGGAAATCATTATATTTAGAACAATGCAATATCAGAATATTGTACTTATTCACACGATTCAAACGACGGCACCGGCTTGGCCTGCCGGCGTGTGGCAGACGGCATACTTCTTGCATTCGCCGTCTGCTGCAGGCATCTTGAGGACCGGAAGTTGCAGTCGTAAATATTTCAGAAACAAGCGATTACTGGCACACTTCTGTCGAAACATAGATGACATTCAAGCTTTCTATATCTGTGATTTTTAGAAGTTTAAGTCCTCCTCCTGATTTCTGAATGGTCGGGTTTTCGTAGCGAAACCTAGCCACATGTATTTGTCCATAACAACGACCCTAGCAACGGTTTGTTTGGACCCATGACGTCACACTTACGGAGTCAATTGTTTTATAAACATCCCAGAAACTGTGTAACGGCTTTTGCATCTTGCTGCAGGTGATATAAAAGAGTTCGAAATTGCGTGGAGACTTATTGGATGTTTCGGATGTTAAGTCGCTTAGCTTTCGTGTTCACCGTCTCTTAGCTTTCGTGTTCTTCCATGAACTTGGTTTATAAATGTTTCTGGCACATTCAAAAGAAAGCTTGAAAAGAAACCAAGTAGTCTGAAAACAAGACAAAACTCTGGCTTAATTACTGGCTTCAATTAGGTATGACACTGTCCCCATTTTTCTGAGCTTGAATGAAATGGACTAATGTCCTCTTTATTATTTCCAGGTTCCAGTTGAAGTCGTCCGATTATGCCCCGTACCTGTCGCTCGGCTGCTGCATGGATGGCTTGAATGAAATCTTCCACTCCTTGTATGGCGTCAGCCTTGAGGCCGAGGAGGTCAAGTCTGGTGAAGTGTGGCACCCCGACGTGGTCAAGCTGGTGGGTTTAAATGTTGACTTAATACTTTCCCCCTTTTCCACTTTCTCCTCTTGCATATCTTCACTCATTTGACCTACTAGGTCGTTGTGTGCCGACCAATATCCTCTCCTCTTGCGGCTCGTTCACATTCTCTTTGGCTCTCAAACCCTAAGTCTTTTTTTTTTTTCAAAACTGGCGTATGCTTTTTCTTTCAAGTGCCCTCGTCTTTTAATTTTCATTTCACTAAAACACCAATGGGGTGGCTATTTGTGGCAGGGAACAAAAAGGAGGTGACACCCCGGGAGCAAGTGTCGCAGCATCTTCCCCTCGAGAAATAGAAAAACACATCCACCAAATACAATCTCACGTTCGGGACAACAAGTAACAGAAACCATTTGGCCCTGTGAATAGGCGATGCCTGTACCATGTACTATTGCGATACCCTTTTCTTCTGAAGCTGCCATTTTAGATTTAGGTTGTTTGGGGTTTTGGGTTGCACTGGGCTGGTACTTTCTCATTTCTAGTGACATTATCTACATTTTTCTTGCGTTTATGTGTGTGAATAGGTGACACCTTCCAGGAATTTGAAGATACTAGTAGTTGAAATGTAAATGTTGTGCCTGTCCGCTTCCCAAACAGGTGGTGAAGGAAGAGAACCGGCTGCTGGGCTACATCTACTGCGACTTCTTTGAGCGTCAGGAGAAGGCCAACCAGGACTGCCACTTCACCATTCAGGGAGGGAGGGCCTTGCCAGATGGCTCCTACCAGGTAGTGCCCGTTTTTGATATGAGTCCTGAAGCTTGACTCTTTATTTCTGGTACACCACCACATTAGGAAGGTGGGAACCCATCTCCTTATCTAGATTTCATCCATAGCCATAGAAGATCTCCCTTAACTCCTGATTCTACTCAGCCTTATACCTCCCACCTCGGGAGCACGAATCCAAAGCGGGTGAAACCCTCCTAGGTATAAGAACATTCTTCCACCTGCTTTTCCGACCATCTTAACCCTTCCACTGCTGAATACAAACTTTGGTAATCCCATAGTCCCTGATGTACCTTAAATATGCATCTTTTAGGAAACTGGAATTATAGGGGTGTACCCCCTCAATTGTGCTCCTGCTAAACGAGTGCGTGAGGAAAGATATCTCTACGGATATCTTACTCAAGGATTCCTTTGTGGACCACTGAGCAAAACGCTTGCAAAGTGGGAAATTTAGAGTGCTGAGGGTGTTTATAAGCTTGGCTGTCCGAAAAATAGAAAATTATTGTGTCTCCACAAAAGAAGACTGTTGACAAATGCTTACTTTGAGTAGCAAAGTGAAGTGCAGAGACATCGGCCAATATTTGCGAGAATTATAAGCAAATAGTCCAAATATGTCACATTCATCATTGGTTACTTGTTGCCGTGCAAGTTCTTTTTGTGTGTGTGTTTGCTGTTGGTTGCCTTTTGGGGGCTTTTGGCCGTTCAAGGTGCCTTTAACAGGTTTTATCTCTTGTCGTCCACCAACATTGTATTTTTGTTGGAAAAATAAAGGATACCCCAAAGCAGTGGTTTTCAAACGTGGGTTTGCAAATTTGTGAGGTCCTTGGAGGCCATAGATTCCCAAAGCCCTCGACAGTCAATCAAGTCAAGCGGTAAAACTTTTATATTCATTCTGGCTATCCCCTAAAGCTAAATAGACTGCACCACTTGTGCTGAGTTAGTGGGGTTAATTACTCTACATTTCAGAGCTTTGAAGTTGGTTTGCACCCATTTAAGTTCTCTTCGTTTACCCTTTTGTCATTGTTATCCTCCAGTACCCCCTCCCCCTAATGTAGGGGGCCCTCCATTACTTTCGCTGATCCAGAAGGGCTCCCGATACATCAGTGACCTAGAACCGCCGCATTAAGGAGTACATTAAACTAAGGGAATCCAATCCTTGCCCACCCCCAGACCCCGATCGTGGTGCTGATGTTGAACCTGCCGGCCCGCCAGTGGGGGTCCCCGCCCCTGCTGACCCCGTCCATGATGGACAACCTGTTTCACGAGATGGGCCATGCGATGCACTCGATGTTGGCGCGCACCCGCTACCAGCACGTGACGGGCACACGGTGCGCCACCGACCTGGCCGAGGTGCCCTCCATCCTCATGGAGTACTTCTCATCGGATCCCAGGGTAAGTTTGGGGGTCTCGTGGTTTTTAGGGGCGAAGCTCCTTAGGGTATAGCCTTGTCCGTCCGGTATCCGTGCTCCCATCGATTGCCATCCCATCTGTCTTCTTAAAAAAAGAAAAAATGTTTGCGCAGTCGACAGAATTCGAACCTGTGTGGGGAGCCCCCAATGGATTTCTAGTCCATCGACTTAACCACTCGGCCACGACTGCGGCACAAGTAGGGGGCTCTGAGATGTGGTAGTAACTCAAGAGCTGGGGATGTCATGGATGAAACGTTGCATGTAGCTGCTCAACGTCTATACAGGAGAGGGCGCTGCGGTCAAATGCTCAAATGCGTATATAACCACGTCCCATACCACACATTCTCTTTCTGACATCAGCACTATTTATGAACAAAATCAGTATCATCAGCACCACCAGAGCTTCGCCCCAATCAAGATCATTCACCACGTAAAGATGCAGTCTTTTCTTCTTTTTTTTTTTTTTTGTGGAGCCATTTTGGCAGGTTGGCTTTTCCGATGGGTGGCTGCCGACGGTGAAAAGCTGGAGTTGCTGGAAAATTTAAGTGCGTGTCGGAACGTTGGGAAAGCGATAGGGCACTGGTTCTCAAACTGGCCCGCGCAACCTCGGGGGTCCTCGAGAGCGTTAGTGTGGGTCCGCGCCAAGTAAATAAAACGCTATAAAAACAAGCCGTCCTATGCCGTCGCACGAGATTTCTGATGCAGAATGCATCAGGGGTCCCCAAGCAGCCTCGGAGGGGATCAGGAGGTCCATGGCAGCCAAAAGTTTGAGAGCCGCTGCGTTAGGATCCACCGAGCTGCCTGCGAATTTTATGCTGCCTAAGCGAACCCGTGAAACGGCGGTGGATCTTAGTCTGCCTGAAAACGTTGGGGAACCGTCGGGAAGCTTAAATGTAGCTGCGAATGTCAGGCAGTGTCTACGAGCTGGGAGAATAGAAAGGCTATGGGGGTTTGAGAATTAAATTGAGCTTGGAAAGGCTGGGGAGGGTAGAAAGAAAAATTTAATGACAAGTTTCTAGGCAATTCTGTTGGATACATGGAACGTTCTGGCATCCCAAGCTTTTAGCGATAGCTGCACCTCATGGCTGCATCTTTATTCAATCAGTGTCCCGTAATATAAATTTCTCACTAAATTTGGTGGGTAAGCCGACTTGATGTATAGGTCACGTGGCATTAACTTCCCCGCCAAATTTAGCGGAGAAGCTGAATATATGTGTCGGTCACGTGACGTCAATTTTCCCGCTAAATCTAACGGGGAAGCTGATTTTGTGTAGAGCTCACGTGAAATCTGGTAATGTGACGTTAACTTCCCCACTAAATTTAGTGTGGCAACTGCATTTGTGTAGGTCATAGGACGTTATTTTTCCCTCTAAATTTGGCGGAGAAACTGAATTGGTGTTGTCACGTGATGTCAATTTTCCCACTAGATCTAGTGGGAAAACCGAATTTATGTATAGGTCACGTAACATGACGTCATGTGACGTTATTTTCCCGCTAAATTTCATGGGGAAACTGAATTTCTGTGTAGCTCACGGGACGTCATTTTCCCCGCTAAATCTAACGGGGAAGCTGATTTTGTGTAGAGCTCACGTGAAATCTGGTAACGTGACGTTAACTTCCCCATTAAATATAGCGTGGCAACCGCATTGGTGTAGGTCATGGGACATTATTTTTCCCTCTAAATTTAGCGGAGAAGCTGAATTGGTATTGTCATGTGATGTCAATTTTCCCACTAGATCTAGTGGGAAAACCAAATTTATGTATAGGTCACGTAACATGACGTCATGTGACATTATTTTCCCGCTAAATTTCCTGGGGAAACTGAATTTCTGTGTAGCTCACGGGACGTCACTTTTTTCGCTAAATCAAGTTGGGAAACTGAATTTGTGTAGGGTGACATGACATGATATTGTGGCGTTGTTTTTATGCTAAATTTAGCAGGGAAACTAATTGGTGTTGAGGTCACATGATGTCAGTTTTCCCGCTAAATCTAGTGGGGAAACCGAATTTACGTGTAGGTCACGTCACATATATTTTGTTGCCAAATCAAGCAAGGAAATTGAATTTGTGTAGAGGTCACGTGACACGACATTGTCACGTCATTTTTCCGCTAAATTTAGCGGGGAAACTGAAACGGTGTTGAGGTCACGTGACCTCACTTTTTCCGCTAAATCTAGCATGGCAACTTCATTCGGCTTCTCTTAATCTGGCTTCACAAAATCCGGAACAGCTAGCCAAAGAATGTTTCACATTAAAAGTAACAATTGTGCACATTATCTTTTTTTAGAGTGCAGCTCTTAGGTGCCCGTTTCCTGCAATTAGCAGCTTCGGCGTAACCACGCGTTGCATTACATGACGTCACAGACCTATACACAAATTCAATTTCGTACTAAATTTAGAGGAGAAACTGCTCCCAAGCAAGGCCTCTCGCCCGCTAGATTTAGGGGGAAAATTGACGTTGTTTTACCTCTGCACCAATTCAGAGTCCCCTCTAAATTTAGCGGGAAAAAGGACGTCGCATGACTCTGTGTCACTTGACCTATACACAAATTTAGTTTCCCTGCTAGATTTAGCGGGAAATTTGACGTCGCCTGACCTCAACACCAATTGAGTTCCCCCGCCAAATTTAGTGGGAAAAATGACGTCACCTGAATTCGTGTCACCTCACGTATACACAAATTTGGTTTCCTCCCTAGATTTAGCGGGAAATTGACATCACGTGACCTCAACGCCAATTTAGTTTTTCCGCTAAATTTAGCGGGAAAATGATGTCACAGCTTCGTGTCACGTTGCCAATGCACAAATTCAGTTTCCGCGCTAAAAAATTGACGCGAATGTTGATGCCAAAATGCCTCAAGAGCTGCGCTCTACTTTCCCATTACAAAAAAGTGTAAACGTCTCTTAATTTTTTTAGCGTATATATTGGAGAGAAATCTAGCGAAAAACTTGGTTCAATTTAAGGATAGGCAATGGCATACCACTTAAAGGGCAACTCCGCTCAAGTCCGAAGATTTCGGGATAATGAGTGATTTCGAATTAAAAAGCCCTAGTAGAAGACACTACGTCTTTTGCTTCGCGAAAAATGGGATATATATTTTTAAATCTAAATGTAAACACGAGCGGAAATCGAAACCGAAACTTCGGCTCCGTCCGGCAACATTGGCCTTGGGCCGCCAAGTACATGGCCATCACGTGGTACGAGAGGTCACGTGATCCTCGGCACAACGACGGGCGGGATGGGGGCGGGCGGGCGTGCGGCAGGCGCGAGTGTCGTCTGCACCGCACTCTTCGCCACGTTTTGGTGTCTACGGCATTCGACGACGTCTGCACAACTGCGGCATAAGTCTGGGACTCTGCGCACGTGGTGTCCATAGTGTGGACGAAACTCCGAGAGGCAATAATCACAAACGGTGAGACGACGACGGTGGTTGTGACGCGGAAGACGGCGGTAACGGCGGGACCACGGCGGGCGGTTGGTCTGCTCCCAAGAAGCGCGCTGCGCAGGCGTGTACGTCAATCACGTGGACACCGCTGAGCGCCGAGAGGCAACGTTGCTGACGTCACGCGCTACGCTCGATCGGAGAAGTAAAAACAAGCAAAAGGGGGCCATGTAGATGGCGTTTAGCTCAATGTTGGCTTCGCCCATGCCGTAGCCTTGACTGTGCTGTTGGTTGCGCCTGAATTCGCCCGCTCGAGTCAGCCGATTTCGGCAACTTGGTGAGTTGCAAAGTTTGCCGGACCATTTAAGAAACATTTAGACAGAACTGCGTCGTAATATTTGACATGTAGTCTTCCTAGGCGATGCTGAAGAGGACTGCATTGTTTTTTCAAAACCAAAAATGAAGCGGAGTTGCCCTTTAAGGAAACACTGAAGCCAACTTGTAATGTACTGCTAGTAGATGATGATAGCAAGACATCATTGCAATCACGAAAGTTAACAGCATTGAGAAATCAGATTCACAGCTTTTTGACATTCAGTGCTTTTCTCCCATCATACAAGAAGCCACTCACGACTCGATTGGGTCTTCATGGCTCTCTTGCTACGCTCGCCTCCTGACTACATTAGTCTTAATTAATTCGTGTCAGGTGCACTAAGTACGCACATTCATTTGATCAAACGTAAACATCAGTTGATGCCGGCAGGCGTACAGCGACTAGAAACGTGGGGCACGGCGAGTTACGAGCCTCATTATCGCTCAGCAGCAAACGAGGTTGCGGTGTTCACCGACGAGAACACCCCAGAATGAATCTCGAAGCAAGGAGCGTGAACATAATAAGCCATGAGCAATGCCCCGCATTTCTTAAGGTGTCATTGACCACAGAGCCATGCCACGACGAATGGCAGTGCTGTGACCGTTCAGCGACGTCGCCTGCAGGTGGTGTCCATGTTTGCGAGGCACTACCAGAGCGGGGAGCCCATGCCGTACCAGATGGCACTCTCCCTGCGCCACCTGCGCTACCACTTTGCGGCCAGTGAAACGCAGCTGCAGGTGCTGTACGCCCTGCTTGACCAGCGGTACCACTCGCACCACCCGCTGGGGAAGAGCACCACCCAAGTCTTGGCCGAGCTGCAGGACCAGCACTATGGCCTACCTTACGTCGAGGACACGGTGAGGCTCCCTTGTTCGAGTATCATGCTCTTGAACGTGTTAGCGCTTTGAACGGAAAACTTTGCCAATCACAGATTAGTGGGTATCCTCTTACCTCAGACTGGTGTTTTCCCGTCTTGATGGAGCCATCTGAGACTTTCGTGTTGTTCATTTCGGTTCTTGTCACTCTTTTACACCCCGGTGTCAGGGGTGATGCCATCGTAGTTTAACTTTCGTGAGCTCATCTTTGTATGGTTTCTATGTCCCATGTGGCAAAAAAATTTCTTTCAATAATCTATTTTTATGGCGGATTGGTTTCAGTGTGTCAAATATTCTGTGAAACGTTTCACCATCAATTACAACAAGGGATATTCAGTGCTAATGGATAGTAGTAGTGATAATAAATGGGGTGAATGTTGTTGCTTTTTGAGACAACTGCACTTCTGCATCTATTCGCACGGCGGGGAAATTTCAGGAACGAGGTCTGTGGACCTTTACACTTGCCATAGACCAGATCGAAAGTACTGGGTTCAAGTTCATATTTTTGGTCGTTGCTTCTGCCGTACGAGTTACGGCTTTGACTTCGTACCCATAGGCTTTGTTGTGCTCCAAGTTAAAAGAGAATTGAGCACATACACCAATGTTCATAGCCATGCACATGACGCTCAATTCAAACCCTGCTAGTGCCTTGTCAGTCTGGCATTGAAGAACCGTATTCTTTACTTTCCGAAAGGAGAAGAAAAGAGAACAACCCGTAACATGCAAACTCTTGGACCAGCACAGGTAAAAAAAAAAGTGACATATAGGTACATCCCTGCAGTTTTTCTGTCTTTTTAGCTGGGAACATGCAGAACTCTGTACCCAAGAAACTGTAATGTTATGGTACACGGAAGAACATATTCGCGGAGGGGTTCATTCTGTGAATACTACACCTTTATACTCCTTTTTTGCGTGATTGTTTTGCTGTCTTTTGCTGAATGTGAACTTGTAGGCTTGGCAGCTGAGGTTTGGACACCTTGTGGGCTATGGGGCCAAGTACTACGCTTACCTGGTGTCCCGGGCTGTGGCTGCCTGGACCTGGCAGGAAGTGTTCAAGAGAGACCCTTTCCACAAGGAGGCTGGCAACATGTACCGCCAGAAGTTGCTGTCCCATGGCGGTTCCGTTCCGGCCAAGCAGCTCGTGAGCGGTCAGTGTTTCAGTTGCTCACCATTCGCTCTAGTCAACCCCTAGTTTACATTTCTCTTAGAGGTTCTTGCAAGCACACAATAGAGAAACCAAACAGACTGTTTGGTTCAAGGTATTTATTAGGGAGTTTTAGCAAGTTTCCACACGAACGGTTCGCCTTCAAACGCATCAACGACGCCACTGCGCATGCGTGCACGAGTCGTTCGGGGCTTTGGGAGGCCCTTTTCGTTCGTTTCTCCCACTCCGGCCACTGGAGTCGTCACCGCAACGCAGCCAGCACCGTTCACGACTCGGGTAAAAAAAAAAGATGCCGGTCGGTTCGGCGACTATCTTCGCCGACCCAGCCGAGCATTAGGCTTAAGACTGCTGGAGGCGATTTGCCATCCTGTTAGTCTGCTTCATTTAAGAGGTTGAACCAAATCATTTCGAGGACTGCTCACAACAATAAGTGATCGTGAATGCTGTAAACTGTGCATTCTAGTAACTTTTTGCGATCTGCGGGCAGCCTAGCTGCTGTGGCGACCTCGAGCAGACGAACTGATTTGGTTCGACAGCATACAACGTGAACAATCTTTCCAGTTCAAGATGATGGAGACACACCACATACCTTTACGGTCGTTCAGGTACTTTATTGCTCTATCTAGCTTCGCAATTCTTGAAATTCCGACCGACAAATGTTACGTCGGCCGTCTTGTTTACATCAGTTGTACGCCGAAAACACGAGCCGCCATGGATTTATTAGTTGCAGAATGTTTCACATGTTTACTAGAAGATGGCGCCACCAGTCAAACAAATCATCATCATCATTTACACGGTCGCGCCAGTTTCACGACTCGCTAAAATATGTCAAATTTCATGTACGGTTTCACGGGATGGACCAGCTGCACCGTTCATGATTTCGGAACCGTGTCCTCAAAAAACGACTCGCTAAAACTCCCTATTGTGGAGGAAGGCAGGTAAAACCTTATGCCGTCAGATTCTTGAAGTGCTCTTTGACAGCACAGAAGGTACTGATGTCGTGACATATTTTGGTCACTTACTTTGCTTCGTCATTATGCTAAGATATTGATTGCAAGTGGTTGTGCGAGCATCTTTAGAGAAGCTTGTTTCCAAGATTTAATGTCCAAATAACCAAGCTTTGTCGTTTTTTATTTTTCCAGACTTCCTCTCGAAGGAGGCTTCCCCTGAAAACCTTGCAACTTTCCTGATTTCGGACATTGAAACAGGCTTTGCGTGATGTCTGGAGAGAAAAATTCTCAACACCAGGTGAGGTGGAGCCTTGATGGAAATTCGCTTACTGAAAGCAACATCAAGTCTTGCCAACAAGCATGCAACCCTTAAAAAAAACCTGAAAAGAAAAAAAAATATTTTTTTTACCAGTTTGATGGGGAAACGCATGTCATAAAATGAATTTTCTGCAGAAAAGAAAATTGTTTAGAGCAATATTGATGGCGTGAGACTGTTTAGTTGGCAGTCACCTTCGTTCCATTTGTTTTCTCTTTTCGGCATTTCGGGAGTGTGGAGGAAGGGTGGATCAGCTTCGCCTCCACGACTGAGGTGGTCATTCCAAAATGACTCGTGACGTCATGAACTTTGCATGCAGAATTTCAAATAAACGCGTGTACCAAACAGATTATTAAAAAAAGAAAAATTTTTCCTTTTGTTAGAGGTTTTTCAAAAAGGACACAACCTAGAAAAACTGTTTTTTTTTTGCAAGAAAAAAATTGTTTTTCTGGTAAGTGCTTTATTTCGGTTCACAAACTCCTGAAGAGAATTTTCTCAAAGTTTCGTTCATGTTCGCTGCATAGTTATCTTGTTATCAATTATTTTCAGTGTGCCGGTGACGCGAAAAACAGCGGACGACAGAGGGCACGCACGGGGAGTTGCAATGGTTACCTTCTTTATCTCCGGAGCGCTTCGTGCATGCTAGGCCTAGCGGAGAGATCAAACCCTCATTTGAAAGCTTGTTTTTTTTTATGTTTCTGGCGCTGACACGTCTCTTCGTATGAGGATAAGTAAGAGTGCTGGAAAATGCGTGAGAAGCCTGTCAAAATTGGCACGTTTCTGCGAGAAAATTTGTTACGCTTGCCCCTATTGGCTGAAATAATTAAACCTAAGCTCCTATTGGCTACCGTGCATCGGAAGCTTGCTCGCGGGATCGGGTCGCAACTGTGTACCAGTTCTTGCTTCTGAGCCTGCGTCGCCTGCTTTTTCTACTTTGATTTTATTTAGTTTTGATAGTTGAGTTGATTTTCAGTTTTCATCGTGAACTTATCGGTGAAGCACACACTACAGCGCACTATTGCAAACGGACACTCACTCCTTACACAGGAAAAAAAAAAAATTCAAACGAACCGTGCTGACTGACAACTTGTTTTTATATACTTTGTCTCCTTCTACCTCTTGCACTACCGAATTTCCCAACTCATGCGCACCAATCTCCTAGACGCCTAAAAAGTTTTTCTCTTTTTCTGTCAGGTTTAAAAGTGGTGTGCTGATACAGTTTTCATAAATCCTGGCGATGTGTTCGGCTTCAATAATTTCTCTAGTTAATTGGTTACTGTTCCTACCTAAAATTGTAGAAGGTGGCAGGTGAACCTCGCACCCACAATCACGGCAGTGTATGCCCAGTTGGCCAGAGTTCGCTCTGGTGCTATTGTTTTTGCGTTCACGGAGCCTATTACAATGCCTTAATGATAGGCTTCGTCAACACAAAAGCAATAGCACCAGAGCTAACTCTGGCCATCTGGGCATACTCTGCCTTGATTGTGGGTGCGAGGTTCACCTGCCACCTTGTACCATTTTAAGTAGGAACAGTAACCAATTTACTAGATAAATTATTGAAGCCGAACATATCGCCAGGAATTATGAAAATTGTATCAGTGCATCATCTTTAAACCTGACAAAAAAAGAGGAAAAAATTTTAGACGTCTTGGAGGTTGGTATGCGTGATTCGGGTAATTCGGTAGTGCAAAAGGCAGAAAAAGACAAAGTATATAAAAACGAGTTGTCAGTCGGCGCAGTTCATTTGAATTTTGCTTTCTTTTTCGTGCGTAAGGAGTGAGTGTACGTTTGCAATAGTGCGCTGTAGTGTGTGTTAATATGAGCAACCAACTCACCCAGGCTGCTACGTTGTCGGTGAAGGCTATGCCTGTGGTGAAGCCGTGAACGCGACAAAGCTTTGGCTTCCGCTCGTGATTTAGGAAGCCGCGAGGAGTGTGCAGTGGAAAGCGTGCGGCCACCACCGATGAGAATGGCCCGGCGCCTCTGACAGTTTCGCGCGTTGAACCGGAGTTCGCAGCAGCAGAGTTGACAATCAAAAGTGCTATCATCGCTACCACGCTATGTGACACGGACACGCTCACGGCATTTGAGCAAAAGATGAGCCTTTTGGAGACCGGCGGAGGGAGCGCTGAAAATGGCGAAGCCGCCGAAAAGTCTCGGTGACGGTGCGGCCGGCTATTGTTTCGTGAGCATGTCGTCTTTGCGAAACTTGATAGGAATGCTTCTCTGTCATATGTGCCGCACTTGCGATTTGGAACTACAGGAAAGCCGTGTCGGAGCGCATCTGACGTTTTCTGTTTTGTGCCCTAACTGTGGAATCATCGTTTCTGCGCCGCTTTCACCGTCGATCGATGGTACAAAGCAAAACAAACTTGCCGCACGCCTCGGAATGGTTTTGCGGAACTGCGGCATTGGATTCACTAAACTGACAAACCTTTTTACTGAACTCAATGCCCCTCCACCTATGTACCTGAAATCGTATCAGACGATTGTGACGAATATGCACGACGTGGCCGTACAAGCATCAGCTGACGCAGTGACAGAGGCTGCGCGACCGTTCGGAAGACTCGAGGGACCAGTTCAGAAGATGTAGAGGAGTAGCTGGAAGATTTGTGCGTTAGCTACTACGGAACGTGGCATAAGCGAGGCCACACATCGCATTTCGGAATTGGTGTCATTGTCGAGCTTGACACAGGCCTCGTTCTTGACTATGCAGTTGTAAGCAGCTACTGTCATGGCTGCAAGCTTGGGCCAAAAGAGAACTCAGAAGGGTATGATGAGTGGCTGGAAGGGCACCAGTCAAAATGCCAAAAGAATTTTGATGGATCAGCCTACACAATCGAAGTTGAAGCAGTTGAAGTGATCTTCCACTGATCAGTAAACCTCCACAAGCTGCAGTATGTGACTGCTCTGTGTGATGGTGACTCAGAAGCATTCAACCATGTAGCTGCACTGGAGCTGTACGACGACAAGGAGGTCACCATGGAAGATTACGTGAATCATGTTGCCAAGAGGGTCTACGCTGAAATGGAAAAGCTGAAAGAGGAAAAAAAAAAAAAAAAAAGAAAAAGCTCGAGGTACACCTATAAGCATTTCTTATGAGTTGTGAATGCGAAAGCATGCAAGCCGCTCGTCCGCTCCCTTTGTCGTCTGCTGCATACTAGCGCGCGCGCGCTTCGGGATCTGAGAGGCCATGGCGCAGCGGCCAATGGGAGCCCCGTCAACACGCGCCAGTCAATGGAACCGAAGGTGAATCGCTTCTATTGGGATCGCGGAAACTAGGAGCCGTTTTCGCGCTTGAAACTGATGATGTCAGCTCGCTTCATAAGACAGTTAATGCTTTCACATTAAAAGGACTAGGCGGACAGGCAAGCTCACAAACGTCAGGATGAAGAAAATGACTAACTATTATGGAAGTGCCCTGAAATAAAATGCCCCAGATGTCACTGCGATGCGGCGTGGAGTCTTTGCAACCCTGCTGCATATGTATTCCACGGACGAGGAGCCCTAACATATTGCATGTCCCAAGGGTGAAGAATGCTGTTGTCACCACAACCGGCACCTGGCACTTCAAGAGGCCGGAAAGGCATCGGTTGCAAAGCCCCACCGACCTGCCTTCTCGAGAGAGGTGGCCAAGGAACTTGTTCCACTGTACAACCGTCTGACCCAGAAGGACTTAATGGCCATGTGCTCTCGCATAAAAACCCAGAATGCCAACGAGTTTTTCAACACCCTCATTTCAAAGAGGTGTCCGTAAACGGAGTTTGCATCGCTCCAGACCAGTGGTTCTCAAATGGGGGTCTAAGGACCCTTGGGGGTCCGCAAAGGCATTCTAGGGGTCCGCAAAGACCCTGCCTCATCAGTAAAGCACAGCAATAAAAGTTGTATTGTTTCAGATCGACAAGAAATGTTTCAGTTTTTGGGCGAGTTTTCTCGTGCGTATGTCAATAAGAGAAGTCTTATTCACATCAGCCTTTAGTCATTCATATCCATTTATTAAGTCGTTATTATCTTTAACCTCTACCTTTCCCCTCCCTCCTCCACAAATGGGGTCCTCCATCATCTCCGCCGATCCACAAGGGGTCCGCGAAACATCGATGGTTAAGAACCACTGCTTCAGACCATGGAGACAGCAGTGGCCCTAGCTGTCCTGGAATATAGTTGTGGACCAGGGGGCTTCGAAAGAGCACTCCTCAAAATGAAGATGGAGCTCGCGAGTAACCTATCAGTTCCAGGCAGAGAAGGTGACCCAGCACCGACTCGCCAGGTCTCGAGCAAGTGCTCTGCAGTCGTCCAGAGTTGCCCACAGGCGACGCAAGATGGAGGCTGTGGCCTCCGAGCAGAAGCGCCTCCAAGAGGAGGGCCCCACCTACGCTGCTGGGCTCTTTTAGTGCCCTTTTAGAGGCCCTAAATTAAAGGCAGGGTTGTGAACACCTTTAATGCATTTTTCTCGATTTCACTTTTTTGCCATAAATTTCATTTTAGTCAATCTATCGTTTGATAATGTGACTAAGGGAAAGGCTCATGTTTAGTTTTTCTTGACCGAAGTCTAATAAAGAATGCGGCTATGGAACTGAATTTCTACTTTACTGATGTTTTCGATAAAAGTATTTTATCATTCTTTCAAAGACACAAAAAGTCAAGATGTAATTTGATTTTCAGAAAAAGCTTATAGAAAAAAACTTTTCACAAAAAAAAGAAATTTTCAAAGCCACACTATACGAGTAAGTACTCTGCTTTACATCAAGGAAAAGAGAATCTTTGGTACAACATTAGTTTTCTAACAATAGATTGACTAAACAGTGACAGTGTACACTTCATCGAAGTTGCTGTAATTTCCTTCACATTTAGCGTACAGAGCTGGAACATTTTTTTGCTCCCTTTATCATTACTATCAGTCTACAGTGCAAATTTCAGTCAATATAATCCAGTGGTTCATAAGTTGACCCTCCTCGGCAGTCTTCCCCTTAAGATATGAAATCGATTGTGGTGGCTTTGATCAAGATACAAGTATGAAAGGACTGGTAGAGGCAGCAGGTGCTAGATTGATGGCCACGTAGAAGGTGGTCATTGCCTCTTTATATCATTGTTGGTACATTGCTTTGCCTGCAATTTACTGAGGTTGTGTCACATTGTCTTTTTGTTCTGCTTATAAGAGTGTGCATCACCCTAATTGCTGGCGAGGTGAACATGTGTGGAGGCTTTTGCCACCACAGATATTGTGATGAGTAATATGAGTAATGTTTCGTGGTGTCGTGTTAAATTTAGTATATCTCAGAAATGTTGGTTCATAAAATCTGTGTGTACCGTATTTTCCGGTGTATAAGACGCACCTTTGTATAAGACGCACCCACCCTATATGCAGGCTTTCATTGAAAAAGTTGGTATATAAGACGCACCTGTGTATAAGACGCACCCGAATTTATCCACAGAGGCTAACGAAACTAATTAAGCATGCTTGCGCGACCATTGCGAAATGCACCTTACCTGTGAGAAGTCCGTAAGACCCAACCACACGGGCGCGTCTGAGACGAGTCGGCGTTTCCCGGCGCCTGCTCGCATCGCCCGAAGGCCATCCGAAAAAAAGCGACGCGCATATCTGGACAGGACAGACCTCGGCGTTAACCGGGAAACGCCGACGCGGCATGTGGTTGGGCCTTTATGCGGCGTGAAGTGATCGAAAAAGCCACCACACGCCCCAACCACCCACCCCTTTGCAAAAAAAAATAAAATAACGACGAAAGAACTCTCTCATACGCCCATAACATTTTATTTCTACTCAAAACCTGCGAAGTCTTCATCTTCGGATGCGCTGTCAAAAAGTTCGGCAATTTCTGGCGGCAACTCTGCTGCGACAGTCTCTTCACACTCAGAGTCGCTCAGGTCATTGTCGTCATCGTCGTGCTAAGGTGGCGCTGAAGCTAGTAGGCCAGCCTTGCGGAAGCCCGCAGTTATGGTTGCCGCTGAAACTGCACTCCAGGCCTCATGGACCCACTTTGCAACTTCACTAAACGAAGCGCGCCTCATGCGTCCAGTTGCGGTGTAGCTGTGCTCGCCTTCCGTCATCCACGCCTCCCAAATGCGTCGCAAAACAGCTTTAAAGCTGCGGTTTACGGATATGTCTAAAGGCTGCAAAATCTTCGTCAAACCGCCGGGTATTATTGTAGGGGTGCAGTTCATCGTCTTAATCTGCCTTAGTGTCAAGTCTGTCATGTGTGCCCGCATGCTATCCATGACTAGAAGGCCCTTCCGGGCATGAAAAAATCCATCCGGGCGCTTCAAAAAGCAGGTTTCGAGCCAGACTCCCATCATTTGCTCATCCATCCAGCCCTTCTCGTTAGTTTTGACGACAACACCAGGCGGAAAGCTTTCTTTTGGCATCGTTTTTCTTTTAAAAATCAACATTGACGGCAGCTTTGTTCCGTCAGCACAGCACGCTAGTACAACTGTAAAGTGAGACTTTTCGTGCCCAGTTGTTCGTACTGTGACTGCCTTGGCACCTTTCTGAGCGACACTTTTTGACATAGGGATATCAAATGTCAGGGGCACTTCATCCATGTTCACAATGTGGCTGTCGATGATGTTACTCTTTTCGACTTCCTTCTTTACAAATTCTTGGAACTTCTCCACTTTTTCTCCGAAGTCGTCTGGGAGTTTCTGACACATTGTCGTTCGCGCTCTGATTGACAAGGCTTTGCGGCGCATAAATCTATAACACCATGACGGCCCACCAACAAAGTCAGCGGCACCCATTCCACTGGCCAAAGTGCATGCTTTCAAGCGCAATTGCACGGTTGACAGTGCCCTACCTTCAGCCCGCTGTTCAAGAGCCCACTTGACGAGCCAGTCTTCAAGTTCAGGCCACCGCGCCTTCTTTCCGCGGTCAGCCTTTTTTCCACTTTTCATCGCCTGTAGTTTGGTGGACGACTGTCGCCATGTGCGAATCATCTTCTCGGTGACGTCGAAACGGCGACCTGCAGCCCGGTTACCGTGTTCGGTAGCGTACTCGACCGCAGATAATTTAAACTTCGCTGTGTAGCTCTTGCGCGACTGCGGTGGCATATTGTAGCAAGACCGGGCAGATGGCAGGAAAACACGACGACGCACATACGCAGAGCGAACAAAGATGAAAATGGCGACTGAAAAAGAGAGGCAGCTTGTCCTGGCTTGTCCTGGCTTGTCTTGGCGAGAAGCGTGATTGTCGCCATCTGTTGGCATTTCACATTACTTGAGCCTGGGACCTCCGCATCCGCAACGACCGCATGTTTGCAATCTTGGAGTTCACCTAAAACGTGGCACGCGGCGGTCCCCGTATTGAAGTATCACCGTGTTACGACTGCGTGATCGGTAGCGATATTTTGTTTTTGGTGAAACAAGCTTGAACATCAACCGAGTAAATTTCAAATTTCTGAACTCGCAAAAAAAAAAAAAAAATTCGCGTATAAGACGCACCGTTGTATAAGACGCACCAGCAAGAACTTTTGAAAAAAGCCGCGTCTTATACACCGGAAAATACGGTACCTGTTACTAAGACTGATATATCGATTCATAATTCCGTGTTGGCGGCTGTCATTTCAAGCACAACCAGATTAAAATTTTTTTTATAATAAACAGGGTTATTTGGGGCACGTGGGAACTTCTAATTTAACATTTATTACTTTTACCCATTACAGAGTTGAGCTATGTTGAGGAACAGAAGTGCCATAAGAAATAAATGTAATCTTCTACGCTGTATGTACCATAAAATCCCGACAAATGCCCCAGCCCGGAGAGGTAACCCACCCCTATTTTGACTTGATTTGCTATTTCCTTTTAAACATCGAAAGATAGCCCACTCCTAATAATCATAGTGTTCGGATCAATGATGACCTTGGCCTAAATGCGTCTAGTTAGCTATGGCCACATATAAGTGAACATTGCTGACTGGGAAGTAGTCATCTTTACTTCATTGCCCCTCGCCGCAATAATGAGTTTGATAGAAACGCATAATCTAAAAATAGCATTTTTTTAAATTTTTTTGATTGCACACCAAAAGTGAGGCCACTCCTTATTGACTACACGACCCGCTAAGAGATGGCGCCTCCAGCCCATAGCGTCACCGCCGTGTCCCAAGCCCATGTGCGGCACAACCAACGGATGGGAGACGAACGGCAGCCATGTAAGCTGATGCCCCGTCGGCCGTTTATCGTGTTAGATAAAGTTATGTTCAAAACAAAACATAACACTGTAGAACACTATAGAAACAGGGTGAACTTTAGAAACATCATTTTATTCTTGAGTGTTCAATACACTGCTGAAAAAAAAACAGACCAGGAACTATACAAAACTATGCACACAATTTCCTCTGAGACATACTAAAAAAATAGAGGTCACCGAGCAATTCCTTGTCTGGGATTGTTCTTCAGTAATCAAAATGCATGAGGTATACTATTTACAACAAAAAACTCACTTCCTATTTACACTTGGGGTTAATTTCCTCACAGTCTCTTTGGTGAATCGAAAGCATCGAAAGCCGCGATGCAGGTTATTAACTCGTATAAGGCATTGCAAAAGCTGGGATTCTGCTCCTCATCAGATGCCGAGTTTAATTAGTTCTTTCGGCCCAGAAGCCTCCTTTTCACAAAAATACACAGTTTGGGAAAATGAGGAAGAGAAGTGTTGGCACTTGAGGAGACACTATTGTGACCGACCACACAATAAATATGCCAAGACGTGATTGTAGGTTCCTTCGAGCTTGGAGGTTCCTTCAAAAGGAATAACGGCATGTCCCTGACTTTCAGGTTTCTTTTCTCCGTGGCTTTCTCATGGGCCAGAGCAGTGTTGGCTATTTTAAATGTGATACACCGTCTACAGAACATCTTGTTTTGGGCACAATTTTCTTTTTTCAATTTTTGCATTGTCTTTGCAGCACTGATTGCGGCGAGTGTTCAAAGAGCAGTTACACTTCGATGGTTCGGCTTTCAGTATCTGCAGGTTATTTATATGAATGTTATTTGCTTGCCACTAGACGAATTTCTAGTTTTGAATTCTGTGATATTGCTGCTGTTGCCTTATTGAATGCAACTTGACGATTGCTGGATGTTAGGGTTTCTACTTGCGGGCTGCAGAAAGAAGTTTCGGGCAGTTTCGCACGAGTCGCAGATATCAACGCACTCTCGGCGAGCCTCCCCCCTCCTAGTTGGCTGTTTTTCACTTTGTTCTTCCTTGTAGAAAAAAAGCATCATGCTTTGAAACACATTTCGTTCACAGAGTCTCTAAGAGTGTAGGATTCACCCCTTTGGCCCTCACTACCTGCAAAGACCTCCAGAATATCTCACCAAAGGTTCATTTCAGGGGGCATTTAGCAGTACCGGGCTACTACGAAACAGAGTTTGCCCCATCGTGGGCCTTCTGGTTGGTTCCACACAGATCACCACACTGCACCTCGCCGTGAAGCACTCTGGCAGTAAAGGGCACACAATCTCGTCGGGTGAGATGCCGGCGTTGGAAGATCTGGGGGTTTTGATGCAGTTGTGATGAAGGCACTTGTGGGTTGATATCACACTTGCTTGCTGAACACTTCCCTCTCAGTCTGATGGGCTTGCTTAGCTGTGGTCCTCAGAGGCTTCCCGGTATGGGATGAGAGTTCAGTTGGTAGATTGACCTAGAAGTACACTGTAAGTTCGTTGTGATCTGGAGACTGACCGTTGGTCAGAGGTGTGACGCTGACGTCCGGGTCCAGCGCAGTCTGTGGATAGAGTGCACAGTAGGGGTCACACACTGCTCCTTAATACTGGGCTTCGTCTTAGGAATTGCTTGCACTACAGCGGAAGGAATGTTCCATTTATAATATGCATGCAATCTAGACTCGCATATTTTAAAGCAAAATGTATGTGTTAAAGCCTGTTGTATATTCCTGTGCAGTGCCCAAATTGTAACATTTGAAATACTTCTGAAACGCCACATAAAACAAAAACGGGATTTTGGGGAAAATTTTTGAGCTACTGCCAAATGTGAGTTATGCTTTTGATCTAAGGGTGGTGGCATGTGTGATTGAGGGAAAATATTGGGCAACACACCAATTTCAGAACTTGGCCATGCAATTGAGTGACTGAATAAGTCATTTTAAACCATTTCTCATATTTTCATGTCTACACATTGAAAATACACCTGCACCACTTAATCTCTTGCTGTTATAACTTGCCAAACAACCATCTGTGAATTTGAACGTAAATACATATTAATTGCTAGTTTTACATGTACAGTTATGGTGAACTTTTTTGGAGCTCCTATGGTACCTGCATACTGCTATTACACATAGCATAGAATAAATGCCACAGAGAAGACAAGGACAAGAAGGCCGCAGTCTGCACTGTGTCCGTGTCCTACTTGTCCTTGTGTCCTTCGCACTGTTTAGCCTACGTAACATGTCAACAGCAGACGTTGCCATTGCATGTAGGCCCCCCAGTTTAAGCACACCATCCACAACTGGATCAACTGCAAATGGAGCTACTATTATGTATGTGTCCTCAATATTATGGTCACTACAGTAGGCACACTAACAAGAGACTATGGTACACAAACAGCAAGGGACTATGGGGTGCTAATCACAAGGGACTAAGGGCACTAATCACGAGGGACTATAGCATGCTAAAAAAAAGGGACTATGGGACTCTAACCACAAGGAACTAGGTGCATTAACCTCAAGGGGCTATGGGTGCTGACCAGAAGGGACTGTGGTGTGCTAACCACAAGGGAATGTGGTGTGCTAACCACAAGGGAATATGGTGTGCTGACCACGAGAAACTATGGTGTGCTAATTACAAGGTATATGGGGTGCTAATCATGAGGGGCTATGTTGCACTAACCACAAAGGAACAAAATCCCACACCAGCCACCCACCTTGTTGGGCTGCTCATCCTCCCAACTGAGCTTCTTGACCCTCCTTGGAATGGAGCCGATGGGCCATTGGACGCTCATGATGTTTCCATTGCCCAGGTGTCCGTTTCGGACCGCCTCCAAGACTCTCCCGTTGGGGACGGCCCCGTTGGGCGTCTGGGCAGCCTCCGGACTGTCGGGAACAGTCTCCCTCTCACTCATGTCCTCCGTCGTGTCTTCCGACTTGCTGTCGGAGAGGTTGAAGATGGGGTTCTCTACGCCGGCGAGCGGTCGCGGGGGGTTGATGAGCTTGTTGGTGGCACTGGTGGCGATCTTGATGCTGGCCACCTTGTTCAAGGGGGCATGCCCATTTCCGTTGATGGACACTGGCAGTCGGTTGCGGTACTTTTTGCTAAGGGAAAGAAGTTGGGGAGAGCGCCGCTGTTAGCACCTTCGTTTTGCTAGTCACGGGTTTTTGACTTCTTTTCATGTAGGGACATTCATTTGTCTTGTACTGAAGTAAAATTATGAATGGAATTGGCTGAAGACAATTCCTGGTTCCAGAAAATTTCCAGTCAGATAGCTAGGTATCAACATCAAACTAGTAGGTCTGGTTGTGGCAGCCTCCAGATTATATAAGTGGGAAAAGGTTTGTTCTGGCAATATCACTTTATGCTTCGAAATGCTAATGCTCGCTGATACACCACACTGTATCAGTTATGAGTTACCTGTTTGCAGTTTAGTAAATTCTTGTTTGATAGAGCTTCCTGTTAAGAATATTTCTCACTTCTCAGGTTTATTCTAGCTTTGGTTACCAAGTTTATGCATGATTGAAAGGTAGAAGTAAGGTTTTAATAAATTATACCTCACAGTTTTGGGGAGGAGGATGCTGAAAGAAATATTTTTACTGTAGAAAACTTACATTAGATGTTGAGTTTCTACTACATCTCTTGAGATTTGTTTGGTGTTGTTACTGTCCAATCTCTTAATAATAATCTTTTTACAAGAGGACATAGTCAGTGATGTGACTGGTCTGAGTCATTTTGGAGCAGCTAAAAGTCCATTTTATGGCAGAAAAATAAACTTTTGGAGCACAAGTGTGCATTTCATTTTCATTCCTACCACTGCAAATATTACATGTTGAGATACATGTGTTGGCCATTCCATCAAAAGACATTGTCTACTTTGCTTTCCCGCTTCTGTGCAACCTTTCGTTAGATTCATCTGCACGGCAGGTTTGATTCCCTCAAAAATCCAAAACACAGAATTAACTAGCTGTCTATTGCGTGTAGATGCAACAGGCACAACAGCAATGTGCTGAGTGATGGAGGACAGTATGAACTGCTGTGAAAGGTTATTTTAAGTACGGAGCCAAAGGTAAACCAAATTACATTCCACATCAAAATAAATTTGTGATGACTAATTCAGATAAAAACAAAGCTTTTGTCATTTGATTATTAACATGAATAACATTTTATATTTTGAACTTTATGATTAAAACAATAGGCATGTGAACAATAAATAAGCCTTAGAAACAATCCAGTCGAGCTTATTAAGGTTATTTCCAAGTTTCCATCCTTTCTTCCAGCTAATTCAGTTTTAATTTTAATTATCAGTTCACTGTGCCATCACACAGGTATGGAACATATGTAAAGGTGATAACTGAATAGGAGAATTACATTAAAATATAAGCCCATAGAGCCGCCCATATGAATCTTCCTGCGATACACAAGTATCCTGGTTAAATCTAGAGATTGAAAAATTAAAGAAATAAATCGTCACAATATTGCATTTATCTTTTATCTATCATTCATCTATTCCTCCCTCATCTATCATATACTATACAACAGCAGCTTTGTTCAGAACTTTTTGCTGCAAGGTATAGTTGTTACATCAGAACTTAAAGAATTCCTTTTTTTTTTTTGTTAGTATATATTTGTTGCAATTGTCTGTGCAACTTCCTGCTCTGGAGGAATACTTTCCCTTAGCTGCTGCGCTGCGGCAAATCAAGATACACAAAATCGCAATGCCTACTCCGCGGTTCTCGCTTTACTGCAGTGCACCATTGTGCAATGAGAAGCACGCTCAACGAGGAGCCCACGAACATGAGAAATATTGCACGACTTCCGAGCACTTTGATAAGAGATTAAGTCCCTAATTCACGCACTCAACGATTTTCAACAAACCAGGCTTGCTCGTGGCCTAGTTGGAGGCTTTGCCAACTAATGGGTGCAAACCTTTTTTTCATCATAAAAAAAAAAAGTTTTTGTTTGTTGTTAGAAATTTAATTTTTAAGGCAATAAATGTAATTTTTAAGACAACAATTAATTAAGCAGTTGAGGGTCAGAAATTCCCCAGAACTAAAAATGGTTAAGGGGTTAAAGGCAATTATCGAAAGTTCTAAACATTTGGACAAGCGTACCGCAACAATCCGGCCATGTAGTGAAGCCTCAACTGTTATACTTTCAATATCAATAATGTAAAATTATGTTTCGGTGCAGTGTTGCTGCAAATTTATTGCATCTTGGTGAAACACAGCAGGATGTAGCAGGGCAAGCACTATGGTGCAGTTTGGTGCAGCAATCACATCACTGCCTAGTACAGCATAATCTGTAAAGCCACTGCTGCCTACTTTTTATATGAAATTAAGGTACTTGATAATGTAAACTAAGATGAGCACCCTACAATCATTTAATGAATGAAGCACATGACAATGCACACTTCATTTTTAATGCTAATGCCCCATCCGTGCCCTACCTTTCATTGTAATTATTGATTTCGGGTGACAATTTCTGAACAGAGTGAAGCACCAATAAAATATATAAAATCAGTTTTTGCTCAAAACGGAGATTCACAGCAATATTTGTAGCTCCATGTTCGCTCGCCTAGTTCACAAGTTTTTGGGTTTCGAACCATCGCAACGTCCACTATTGTGTTAGGGATAATAAGAAGGTGTATGTGTAAAGTTTGTTCTAGGTTAAAAGTAGAAGAGCAAGCTCCTCCCACGAAGTCCTCCATTCTTTCCACCTTAGAAAAGCAAATGCTGGAAAGGAGGAAGCCACGAATCAAGGTCAGCAGAGAGCTTTGTGGGATGTGCTTGTCCTGCTATTTTAACCTGCAACTTACATCAGATCACTTCCAAGAATGCTCTGTACAGAGATGGGAGGACACTCACTTCTTGAGGATGTAGACGGTGAGGGTGATGATGATGAGGAGCAGGGAGCCCAGTAGTGCCCCGAAGACGATCATGAGGATGAAGCTGCCCTCATCCTTCTTGGGCGCCAGGACGCTCCCCAGCACCACGGCCTCCTCAGGGAACTTGACCTCCACCAGGGCCGTGGACTTGCGGGGTGGCACGCCGTCGTCAGTGGCCACCACCACCAGGTGGGACGTGGTCGAGTTGAGGAACTCCAAGTCGCGGATGCGCACCTCCCCGCGATTGTTGATCATGAAGAGCCTGCGTGAGCAATGCGGGAAGCTCAATCTTTATTTTTCTATGCTTTCTTTGTTCAACTGTGAGAACATGATTAGCTCCTATGCAACGCACAAGAAAAATTCTATCCTTCGGTTTTGGAGCATGGAGAGCCTGTGTGGGCAATGTAGGGAATAGTTTTTCTTTTACTCTTTCTTCTTTGTTCTGGTGTAGAAACATGACTGACTCCTATGCAACACACAAGAAAAATTCTACCCTGCAATTGTTGATCATGAAGAGCCTGTGTGGGCAATGTGGAGAATACAGTCCTTCTTTTACTCTTTTCTGTTCAGCTGTAGAAACACAATTGGCTCCTATGCAACACACGAGAAGAAAACTTCTACCCCATTGTTGTTGATCATGAAAAGCCTTCATCAGCAATATGGGTCTTTCTCTTATCCATTTTTGTTCAGCCGTAGGAACATGATTGGCTCCTCTGCTGCGCGCAAAGAGAATAATTCTGGGGAGCTTCCGAGGTAATCGGGGTAACCAAAGCTTTGGGTTTTTTATTGTGAACTCATGGTTCCTTCTCAGAGCACTGTCCCTTCCCTATCAAATGTCCTTGAGCTGCTTAAACATATGACCAACCAGCGCTTTAATATTATCTTTGTTGAAAGTTAATGCATAGTCTAGCTGCATTTGCACCATGTAAATAAGCACTTATTGAGTATGGCAGTAATTGTTTGCAAAAGACAGGAAGCTGGTTGGGGGACATTAAGTATTAACACTTTTCAACTGACACAGCAGGTGAAAGGCTATAATTTCAAGATCGGGTTGCAGTACCTTGTTTTTTCATACTAGCTTAATTATGGCGTCACTGATAGCAATGTTGATAAGCAGTCCCTCTCTCACTTCTGATTTTTCATCAGCCCTGTAATATCATTTGCCTATGAAAGCATTCCTTATAATATTGCTGTTTATGTTGCCTGTGCAATTGATAGTTTATCCTTTTTCAATGGTGTATATTTTTAAAAGGGTCGAAGGCAGTTCATTTATTGTGTAGGGGTTTCGACTGCTCCTGTCGGATCTTAATTGACTCTCAGCTCCAAGAAATATAAAAGAGAATTTCAAAATCAAAATTCTCACCGTGCTGATGGTCCATCTATGCTCAGTTGCACGGTGTCATTACTGTCTGCATCAACAGCCTGTTGAGATAAGAATGGAAATCATGTTATGCACATTAGTTTTCTGTTTCATGTTTCTTACGAAGTGACTCATGTAAGGTGGTACTCACATCTACTTTTCCTATCAGTTCTCCTTTCTTGATGTGTGGATCAGTCACCATGAAGGAGTAACGTCCCTGACGAAACTGCGGGTCGTTGTCGTTGACATTGATCACGCTTACGTTCACCCTGGCAACGTCATTCTGGAAACGCGCACAAAATATTTGTGACTCGAGTCGGACTGCCAAGAGGTAGCATTCTGAAAAGGAATCACCTGGAAGCCTCAGGGTTGCAGCCAACATTTCGCTAAGAGACTTGGCTTCTTCAGGACACCAAGTAAATGTTGGCATACACTCTTGTGGCTCACAGATAGTTTCATTTCAAATCCTTTCTAGTAGCTTCAACTACCTCCATGACTCGAGTACATGTAATGTAACGTGAAGTGCAGAATTGCTCGCATTTTTGTCAGGTGAGACTTACATATTTTCCGTCAGTGGCAAGAACTTGCAATGTGTAGTCCTGCTTCATTTCATAGTCTAGATGCCGGGCAAGGATTATCTCTCCCCTGCGAAAAGAGATGAACATATTTCCTCAAACGAATTTTGGGGGGATTTATTTGACTCGTCTGGGCCCGATACTCACGTTGGTTGTATGGCGAACATATCGTCCTCATTCTCGAGTAGCTGGAATTGCACGCTCTGAAAATAGATGGGACATTGCATTATACTTATATAGCATAGGTTCGTACAACATGCATCATTTGACTGGCACTCCTGTTGCGTGTGCGTGCAGTTGTGCGACAGTACAACACAAATCTATTGCGTTCATTAACATTTGATTGGGATGCCAATGAAGTCAAAAGTTATAAGATTTTGCCTTTGAAATGACCATCGAATTTGCAAGAAAGCTACTGTCATACTTCTTTGCATAACGAAAAAAAAAAAAAAAAAAACACACTTCGGCCCGATTTTAGTTTGATTGAACAAATGGTAACTGCGACGACAGTAGATTCTGTGGTGGCCGTTGTTGGTCTTAGCACGTGGTACAGCTGCTTCTGTTTACCCCAGAACTCCGTTACGGGGCGCTACGGATATCGCATTGATGAGCGAGTTTCGCAATACCCCTGGTAAAAGTGTGTAGAACTATGCAAGAGGGCGGACCCCATTTTGTGTTAGCTCTGACTCGAGCGGGGTACGATCTCGCTAGCGGCGCTGTCTGAAAAGCGTGAACTATATACTTCGTTTCACCTTATGTTGTACCGCAGCGAAGGCTAGAAGCGCGAGCTCATAGCGTTGGCAGCCGCTCTTAAGTCACGAGAGCTTGTGCCGCCGAGATGTGCCCCAGAGCAAGGAGCTCGCGCTTGTAGCCTTTCCTGCGGTACATCATAAGGTGAAACAGTATAGACAATTTCAAGCATGGCGCCGGACTGGCAACAACAAGTTCAATGGTGTTTGTAAATAGCATGGTGGAAGCTTGAAATCATTGCACTCTCAAAGGAACACTGCCAACACCGTTAAAATTAAAGTTCTTTCATTCCTCTTATTTCCGTCGATGATAAATCCCCTTTCCGACGTCATAGTCAGCGTTCGGCCAATCGTAGAAGGCCGACCACAGCGACGCTTTCGGTCGCGCACGTCATCCTTAAGGGAGTGGTGCAACGATATTCAATTGGAATGTTTTTCACTTGACACGAGCTTACTGGCCCACCTGGGACTCAAGGATACTCACACGCAACGCCACTGGCCAAGAAACTCCTTTGTTGCGGTGTAATTTCAAGGACAAAAGCGATCATTTTCATTCAATCTCTCCTTTGCTAAATTTGATGACGTAACGTGGGGATCGCAGTACACCCAAGTGACGATATTTGAATACGGTTCATAGATTGGACCCAAGCATTGCGTGGGCACTCGACTTGGGCTCGTGATAATTGCTAGCTCGAGAAGCATTCGGGTAGTGACCCGTGTCCAATCGCTGCAACGACGACAACAGCCGAGCCATAACAATGTCTGGAACTCAGCGCGTGTCCTGCGCTTTGCCAACCCCAGCGCGTCGCTATGATCAACACTGGCGGCATATAATCGGCTCCAGATCACGTGGCCGCTTGTTCTGGCTGCGAGTTGAGGGGGTGAACGCTGCTCGTTTTTCTTTAATTTTTTTCTGGGACTTCTATTGCGTGGGGAGAAAAACGAACGCGTGTTTCATAGGTCATTAACGTTAGGGATCCGTTTTAAGCGGTATTTGCGCAAAGTACAAAAATTGTTGCATCGCTCCTTTAAGCAGAGAGCACGAGCACGAGAGCTCGAGGTTGCTGCTTTGAAGCCTTGTTCCGCAGAGCGAGCGCTCGTGCTAGAAATACAAGTCTCAAAGCCAAGAGCTCGCGCTAGCTGGCGCTTGTAGCTTCGGCTGCAGTCTCAGCTTGAGGGTAAACGGAGCATATATACGGAGCCAGGGGTGGATGCAGGAATTTCCTGAGGAGGGGGGGAGGGGGGGGGGGGGTCAGGTGTTGGTCAGCGTACCATATGGTTAGGGACCCCCTCCCCCTCTCCTTCGTCTTACGCCCTAAAATTTACACAAGCAGAAATCAAGAGGGGTCAGGACATCCGGACCCCCCCTCTAAATCCGCCCCTGTACGGAGCGCAGCACTGAGCTACATTTCAGACGCCATGTTCTTCCCAGAGGTGTCCCGCGGCCCGTGTCTCGAGCATTCCCACAACAATGAATGGCGCCACTTTTCCCAGGATAGAGGGGCTTTAGGCGAGGCACCTTTTCGGTGGCCCTGGTGGTGTGGAGGGACAGCACGATCTGGCCCGGAGGCGTGCTCTCGAGCACCCTGGCCTCGTAGTGGGAGTTGAGGAAGTGGAGCTCGTGGGGCAGGAACTTGTCTCCGGTCAGCGTGAGCGTGGTGAGGGTGAAGCGGTCCGCGTTGTCCTTCTGCGTGGCGCGCACCACCAGCGTGACGGGCAGCGCGAAGCCTTCGGGCAGCGGCCGCTGTAGGGTCACGTGACCCGTCTGCGGGTGCAGCTCGAAGTAGGAGTACTCCGGGGCGTCTGTAGAGAGCGGGACCACGTTAGGGATGGTTAGGTTGGTCACCTTTTGCTATAATCGTTTCTGCATGCCGCCATCTTTGTCGTCGGGGCCGCGTTCTGAGCATGCGCAGTGGCAAACTTCTGCCGAATATCAGACGCCGTACACGCGTGAACAGTTCGGTAACTCAGCACTTTTTGCCGGGGTGAGGAGCATTGGAAAGGAGCGGGAAGCCCCCAAAACGTGTATAAACCCTTCCAGCGCTTATCACCCGGAAGAAAAATGCCGAGTCGCTGAACTGTGGACATTTCATCGAACGCTGTTTCATGGAATAAGGGGGCATTTCGTCCAACGCCGATTCATCGAACGCCCTTCCATCGAATCGCTTGACGCCGTTCATAGAACATGAATCATAGAAGATAAGCTTGAGTTTGTGTGTGACTTACTGAAGTGTCTGCACTCCACCACCATAGCCTCCTCTATACGGTGGCATAGCCTCCTCTATAGAGGAGGCTATGCCACTACATACTTCCTTATTTGTTCACGAATGAAAGGTACATCCGGAAAGGCATATAACTATTCCTTGCTACGCCTTTTTTACTTTTTTATTTACTTGCGTTTTTATTCTATCCTAGGAGAATAGCTTTCTTTTCAAGAACATACCTTGAAAAGCCGGCAGGTCCACGGTTTTGCCGACTGCGATAAATAAAGAGGGGTAGGTGTTTTTTATCTGTTTCATGCGACATGGAAACACGTAATTACTTCAAGGATGGCCTTTGCGCTTGAAACAAAATACTTCTCTTCAAAAACGAGGATACGGCCTTGAAGGGACGTACCTTCGTCACCACACCCGATGGCCACATGTTTCATAAAATGTCAAGACGGCGTTCCCGTTTGTTAATGACCAAATTAGCACCACAAGTCATGAGTTGCTATGAAACAAAAAGAAGAAATGCAAGGCGCAGTGGAGATAACAGAGTTTATTATTAGTTCCCCTCTGTAGGAAAAGAAAGGTCTGCTATCCTTGTGTCAAAAGGAAAACTATTTCCTAGATAAAAGAATTCCTACTAATCAACTAGGCGGTGTTCGATGAAACGGCGTTCGATGAAATGGCGTTCGATGAAACGGCTTCGAGAAACAGCATTCAATGAAATGTCCGGGACCATCTGTGGAGCGCATGCACAATATATGATAGTTCATGAAAGTGAAGCACATCCCAGAAGACAAAGGTGGCACTTCCCAGAAGGCTATTATCGGAATGGTATAAGTAGCAATGGAACCTGTTAACTGCACTAAAGTAGACTTAAAGGCAAAAAAAAAAAAAAAAAAAGGCATTGCTAATTTAGTCAACTCAATTTTCTGCGCCGCTCGTGGCTGGTGGTATTGTGTATGAAGTGCTTACCTGAATTGAAGGTATATTTAATGGGAGCTCTGATCTCCTCGTCCGGATCTTCAGCTTGAATTTTGCTCGGCTTCACGTCCAGAGGAACCCCCTGAAATATTAAAATTGAACAGCATATGTAACTTGTCCATTTCAAGATGACTTACTAAATATCAGCTCATGGGTCATGATTTTAAACTCTTCTAAATGCAAGCACGTCCGTTTCATTCGCCCTAATAATTCTTGTTTGTACCCTACTCAATATCATATTCAAAATACCCCGTTGGAATTAGTCCGATCTTACAAATACCTAAGAGTTCACTTAACCTCCGATCTATCGTGGAACATGCATATTAATTACATTCTTTCAAGAGCTAACCGTAGTCTCGGTTATTTAAAACGTAACCTTAATTCTGCCCCATCTTTTCTTAAACGACTAACATAGGTCACGCTTGTTCGACCGATCCTGGAATACGCTTGCAGCATTTGGAACCCTCATTATCATTACTTATCTGCCTCACTGGAAGCACTTCAAAACCAAGCCGTTCGTTTCACTTTTTTTTTTCTTCTGATTACTCACGTCATACCAGTGTAACTAACCTCAAAACTCGTGCTGACCTTCATTCACTTGAGATACGCCGCAGGGTATCAAAAACTATGTCTTCTGCATAAAATTTACTACTCGTCATCACTTCACTCATCACTTCTTTTTCAACTGTTATATGTTTCAGCCCGCATCGATAACTCATGTAAGATTAAACTTATCCCTTGTAAGTCATCCTTGTTTTTCTGCTCGTTTTTGCCATCCGCCTTTGCTGACTAGAACGACTTGCCCGATAACATTGTTTGTCAAAATAATCAAGTTCTTTTTCGCCAAGATTTAGCTACTTTTTTGGGGCCTTTGATGCATGTGTGCGGTTGATTTTTGTTGTTTTTGTGCTCAGTATTTTCAATTTATTCAGCCTTGCACCCCCCCCCCCCCCCCCCCCCAATTACATAATGCCCCTTGAGGGTGTGTAAGGTGTTTAAATAAATAAAAATGTACTTCCGGTTTTGAAGCTTTTTCCTCTTTCCCCACCATTTGTACAATATTGAAATAAATAATAATATTATTATTAGCGAGTCTTAGTTTTGTTTACAAGTGTCTTGCATAGATTCCCTGCAGAAGGCCCTGTCAACGAACAGTAATCTTCTTCATTCTCCTAAAATAAAAGTTCAGCATAGTTGCATTATGTATGAAGTCAAAAGAAAGCGGGATGATGTGTATTGCACTATAAAATACTTCTGGAGTTCTACAAACATTAGAAGCGACATGCAGGGACCCCCAAATAAAGCAAACATGGAAGTATGTTTTTTTTATTGGCCCGCATGAATAAACTGCGGATCGCGGAAAGCTGCAACTTTGTCTGAATGTGACGCTACAGTGGTGATAGAGCCGATTTCTTGAAATCATGACGTTATTAAATTATAATGAAAACAAAAATTAAATATCGCGATCAACCGCCGTCCTTTTGGACCTAATATTAATTAAACTAATAAATGGCATTGTGGAGGTCTGTCGCATCTATTTATTTGAGAAGAATTTGTCAGCAAAAAAGGAAACATGTCTTTCTTACATTTTTTTTTAAATTTCAGCTCAAATGCTACAGACACCCTCAATGAAATTTTTGTTCAACGAATATTAGTCTTAGTGGGCGTCAGCTCATTGAGAAATCTAATTTTTCTGGTTCATCTTTTGATTCAGGTTTCGTTTTCTCTCTCTCTTACTCGAACCCTGTGGAATATCTTCTCCCATGGTTGACTGGCACAGCATCTTCCAATGCCGTAAGTAACTGTTATAAGCCGCGGTTCGACTCTAATCCCTAGACGTCACCCAGTTCCGAGTCCAGGTCACAAACGGTCGACAAACGGTCGGTCGCACTTCAGCGCCGAGTCGGGCGATACGTCAGGGATCGCGTTTACAAAAGGAGTTTGACAACGACAGCGCGAGGGAGTGACTCCCGCGATGGCAGCGACAACGACTGGCCACGGTACACGGCCCAAGGTCACGAACGGATATGCAAGTCACGGTCGGGGTGTCGCGAAGAAAAGGGCCGACCGCACGGGCCACTGAGTGTTGTGGCGAGACGAATGGCGGCGACGGGGGGGACCCTTCGGAGGTACGCGCGGGATAGGGCAATACCACCTCGAACCCCCAAGGCCTGCACCCTCTCCTCTCCCAAACGTCGTGACTAGCGGATCCAATCAGCGCCGTCTCGCAACGAGAGCGAGCCTCTAACGATGACGTCACGCTGGGGCCTTGTCTTCTAGGCGGTGTTGGATAGGACCCTGTCTTCGGGGTCCTCTGCTGTCCGCCCGGACAGCTCGGGTGGCGTACTCGGCCGCCGCCTTCTCGCGAGGGCGACCAGACGGGACATCGACACTCCCCGGGTTTTCTTTGTCCCCTCGCCACGCTTCGCTGTACAGCTAACGAAAGTTTGCGTTTCTCTGGGGACGTCTTCGGTCGTTTATTGTTGACTCTGACACCCCCCTCGTGCCAGGGTCGGGGGATGGGGTTTCTTCGTGTTTGCGTGTGGTGTGGATGAGTGAGCATTGTTGTCGGGGGCAGCGATCTTGGAGACGGTTCTGACGCGCGAATGTCTGAGTGGGGTGACCCTACCTTTCGCTCGCCGTACACTCTCGCAGCTTCGGTTAACCTTGTATTGTTCAAGATGAAGTAACAGACAAGACTGATCAAGTAGAAACTGTCTTGAAATGCACGGGTCCGTCAGAGCCACCGGTGTCTCCGATACACGAATACCGGTAGAGGAGCGTTATTGATCGAACACTAACGGTGTGTCAAAACGTTTTGTTAAGTTAAGAAACGTAGGTGATGAGTTCCGAGCCTATTATTGTCTCTCCGTGGCCAATGAGAGGACGGTATTAGTCGATAAGAACGTCCTAGGACAAATAACGACGCGAGATGCGTGAACGTAATAAGCTCCATTTTACGTTTCTTAAACTGTCGATGACTAGTGAGCGAAGTCGGCGCCAACGGCTGCTTGCACAACAGTCGACACGTTAAAGGACGGTAGTACGCTATTTTTTTCTAGAAGGTCTTCCACTCTTTCCACTTTAGCGGAGCGAACGCTGAAGTGGAGGTGAACGGACTTTTTTTTTGTTTGTACTATCAGTAACGTCTAATAGACCGATCTCGCTAATCGTTTAACGTATGCGTGACGCCTCCATAATTGTTGTTCATAGGAGGCTGGTGCCAGTTTCAGTCGACAGCTCCTGCCATTTCGTTCTCTGCATGCTCGCGCGGACCCTCGGCGGGGTTATCGGTAGTGCAGAAAGACTACATGCAGTTCCCACGATGCATGGCGGCAGCTGTGGCGCAGTGAAACTGGCTGGGAGGTCGGTCTATTGCAACCAACGTGCTCACCTTCTACTTATCGGGACTGCACGACACTCACCAGACGCGGATTTTCGTGCAGGTGGACGAAGTATCTCTCGGCGAGGAACCTGGGGTTCTGGTCGTCGGCGTCATGGACCACCACCACCAGCGTCGTATGGGAACTCTGCGGCGGGTTCCCTTGGTCCTGTGGGGAGAAGACGGCGATGTCCCGTCAGCACGTCACTACGGGCGCCATGCACCAGAAGAATCCCGTCGCCCGCTCCAGGTTTCAGCTGCTCCCAAGACCGTCCCTGCTAGTCCGTGGCCCATGTCTCGCTTTATCGATTAAAACGGGTTTGTACAGTAGATGACACGGTTGCCTCGCGTGGGTGGATATACGGTCAAAATCGTGAAACGCGGTTGTGCGCTGCGCGACATTGTTGGCGCTTTTTCGCATTTTATTTCGGAAAGGGCACTGGCATGCATCAAGAAGTTACCACTGAGGTTAGCATCCCAACTGAGCACTTTCCACCACTAGACCAGTTTTGATGATAGTCCTTCAATACGGAGTTACAAACGAAGAAAACCGGCGATAGCCTGTTCGCGTTAACGGTGTCGCCGTGTGTACGTGATTTTCGGCTAGCGGATAATTGCTGATCGAACTCTGCTCAGTTTTTCTTTCGCTCCAAGAACGCCTTGGTTTAGAAGTGATGCATTGCTGACGTGCGTGCATCTTTTCTTAGTAGTTATGACGACAAGAGACGCACCAAATCTTAACGACACTTTGCGCTCTGTTACACTTCTAATCTATGCGCTTAAATTAATAATATATTCGCAAATACTTGAAACACTCAGTGTTAGTACGGAACTACCACTTTCAGTCAAATTGGTCGTCTTGTGCTTGCGGTACCTCGGTGCCGACGTCGACCGATTATATTCTGCATCACCAAAAAGTGCGAGGGTATGCGATTGAAGCGTCGTTCCGGGCCAAACGCTCGCGCTTGTAGCTTTGACTACGCTCGCACTTATGATAAAACTGTACTTAGTTTTGCTTTAGGAGCGAGCGTAGAAGCTACAAAAGCGGTGCGCACGCTTGCCGAGCGCGCGCACCGGCAGGCATGTTCAAAGCGCAGAGCTCGCTAGTCTTCTTGAGCGAATGAGATATTTATAGCGCCTGGCAGTCTAAAGACGAAGCCGTGAAGGTAGGTTGAAAAACACGCGATGAGATCGCGAAAAGAGCTACTCAATACACTTCTCACCTGTGCCCGAAGGGTGACTGTGAATCTGGGCACTGTCTCGTAGTCCAGCCTGTCCTTCAAGACCAGAGATCCTTCAAGTCTGCTCTCGAACGTCAGCAGGTGCTGCGTATGGAAGATGAACAAGGGACGTCGTTGGTAAACAACGGTTCCGTAGCTACACCAGGACCTTGAACCAAGACATAAGTGTATGTGGGCGTATACCGAGTAAGGTCCGTCCTCCACGTAGTACTCGACCGTGCTGAACGGTCCTGGTTGGTCCTTGTCCACGGCCCGGATGCCTTGCATGACGGTGGTTCCTGGTACTGTTATCTGTGAGAAAATGGTATGTGGACACGTACTACTTCAGTCGTTTATTTTGAGCATTTTAATGTGAAACGCTGCATTTTTGGGCAGGATCCCCCGTTCGATTCACTTATTTGGTTGCCCATTTTCTCCCATAAGCTATTTCCGCTTGTGTCGCTCAAGTCAAAGAAAAGTTGTTGACAAGGTATGTCCGGCATGTGCGTAAGCAGTGTTTGTTGGAGGTACGTCTGGTGTGGTTCGTGGACTATTATCCACAGTTCATTATATATGTGTACTACATCGTGACATGCCCCTTTTTCTGGGATCTCGGGGGGCGTATGCGAAGGCCACGGATCGCTAACTTTGGGGTTCCTGGGGTGCTTAAGGGCATGGCGCGATGTTTGGTCGCGTTTTAACAGAAAAGAAGACCACGCATGATTGTAATTTTCAAGGATGCTTAGGGCGTGTAGTTTGAGTTTGATCTATAAAAATACAATGTTAAAATCCACTTTAGTGCCTATATAATATACCGTCTGCTAGCCCCCTGCAGATCACTATTGGATGGCACCAGCTCGGCAATTGGACCCGAGCCCGATGCCGAGCGTCCTTCGAAGCTCTGATTGGACACGAGGCCCGGCCGAACGCTGACGCTGCACTCGTGTCCAATCAGCGTCTTTACTTGACCTCGCTGTAATGACGTCATCAATTTTGGTGCACAAACTTTGATTATTCTGCGTGGCGCTGGCTAAGACCGCGTTTCGTGCACGAGGACTGACCCGGGTTATATCACCTAAATGCACAGACTTCCAGCCTTTGGCGGTCCGCGCACGGCAAACCGCGTGTGCTAGATTTCTGGATCCTAGTTGCAACGTAAAACCGTTCCAAGGTCTTCGATGCCCTACTGTCGCGAGCGAGTGCGCGAGCAGCTGACAGAAAGTGCGTGCGCCGTTTGACTTCGAGCACTGTAATTTTCGCTCGCGGAAAGTGTACGTAAAAAATGCTTGGATACGTTTCGCTGAGGCCGGAACGAAATTGCTCCCCTTGATACGTCAGAAGTGGGGTAAGGGCCCGAGATTCAGTCAGCGTGCCGTGCGACTTCCGTTCCTTCTGGTGCCATTGTCCCTCTTTTAGAACGTGCGTGGCGAATGAAGACAGCCTCACCCAAGGCTATTTCTTGCAAACCAATTTGCCGTCGTCACGCCCTCCATTGTTCCTGAGCGCCTCGTTCGACCGATGCTATTAGTCATTGTGTAAGCGCCGTGAGATACCGAACTAGTCCCTTTTTTGTTATTGTTCTGCGGACTTCCTATGCTTACGCGACTTGATGGATGAACTAACGAGCGAATCTGTTGCGCCAAGGAGTCAGCCGCGATGGTTGTTATCAGGACCTATCTTATGGGTGGCAAAGTTGACTTTCGCAAAACTTTTTTTAATGCGTTTGTATTATAGTCAGATACAACATAAGAAAGGAAAGTGGAGAGGAGCGACTTCCTTTCCACAACGGCTCTTCTCGTGCGCGCTTTTCCCTCCTCACACTGTCTTTCTTATGTAGGGAAAAGCTGACGGTGTCCGTCTGTGGACAGAACAGTAGAAAGGGAAGCGCGCCGCGTGGAGAGGAGGAGAGTAGTGAAGTACAAAGGCGAGAGGGACGCGACGTCACCGAGCGGAAACCAATGCACGCGTGGATGCTGGGGCGAGTCTGAACTTGCAGGAGGGCGAAGCGCGTACGCCTTGGTTTGGGCTACAAAAATTAAAGGAAGATCCATTGGTGGATCATTATGGAATGCGTCCCTTGGGAAACGCCACACACGTCCCCCTCTGGGAAACGCTAACACTGACCCCGTAACGAGGCCCAAAGAGGACAGCGAAAAATAGAGACAGCAAAAGAAAAAGCCAAAACAGAAATGTAAAACAATTAACGTTCGCGTATAAAGAAAAGAACCTGTGTCTGTATGTGTATACAGCCTAGAACTTAGTATGCCCCAACGGGCATACTAAGTGCAGTACAACAGCTAGCCTGGGTGTCTTTAACGTGCATCACGCAGTAGTGATACACGACGGCACGCCGCTGCGATGCTCATCTAGATCGAAACGAGCAGGGGTGGGGCTTGAACCCAGGATCCCTGGGTTCTGCAGCGCGAGCTTTCGCTCCACGTGCTCCGAGCCGCTGTGCGCGCGCATGAGCCATACGTACGTACTGCGGCGAGCTATGCGTACGTACGCTCGCTATCGCTTTTTGCGAGCGTAAGTAGCGGTCCCCTGCGTACTATTCTCGTTGCTCTCGTCGTGCACGGGAAAGCGCGAGACTACTCCAGTTTGGAAAATGGCGGCGGTGAGGCAAACCAGTGGAAGTGCTACACGCGTTGTACGGGTTCGCTTCACCATTGAAGATGACCTCAACCTCGTGGAAGAAAGAGGAAGAAGAAGAGAAAAAGGGCGAGGCTCGTGGCGGGTGAGGACACGCGGAGTTCGGAGCTGGAGACAGACGAAAGAGCCGGTGCCGAGCCGGTGCCGAGCAAGGCCTCCAACTGAAGACCCGGACCACTAGACAACCTTGGCCCTCCTCTTCATCGAACCTTGAACTTAAGTAGAGATAAAACCTTTTCCCAAATGGTAGCGCTTCCCCGTGTGACTTCCTCGGAACGAGTAGAACTCGGCCTGATCGGGCAGTATTGACAGGCGACCCACAAACTCCTAAAAAAAATCAACGCGCGAACCCTTTCGAGCGCCCACAAAGATGGGTGTCGGTAGCCAAGAACGTTGGCGACGCCGTCGAACCCAAAATGGTGTTCTTTCTGCGGTCGGTATGCGAGCGGTGCGACGTATTGCTTGCATACTCCCAAGCAAATGACGAGGCCAACATAATATAGTAGGGATCCCACAACACACTGGAGCGAACCATAGATCGAACTGCTGGTCGCACAGCCATAAAAAAAGAAGAAAAAACACGTTCACAACAAGCAACTGGAAAGAGATTCACGCACTTCGTAGCAAAGCGAAGAGATTCGCAGTGTTAAATTGGCTTTACCGAATACCCGCCTTTGATTGTTTGAGGCAGTTCGTAGGAGCACATCTAGATGGCACTGCAAGACTTTACGCATCGTTACGTATGCGTTTGCCTTCCGGTATATTAAAAATGCGCGTTCAACGCGCTCCGTAACGTTACGTCGACAGCTAGCGTGCGTTGTACGCAGTGCAGACGCAAGGGTCTTTACTCTATTCTAAAACTCTCTATTCTCTCACCAGAAACGCGAGCAGACGACGCGTCGCTCCGTTTGTTCTGTGGGCGGCTTTCCCGTAGCTTTTTGAAGTCTCGCTACTTCTCGGTCGATGAACGCAAGGGAGGAGGTTTAAAATAGGAGGGCAAAATTAATCATAATGTAGCACCTGAGACTGTGGTGCGGAAAAATTAAACTTTGTGGGAATTCGCGTACCGCCGCCGATTCGCCGTTTCCCACGTGGTCCGTCAACAACCCGAGTCCAGCCTGGTTCTTTCACGGGAGCGGGATTCCGCTCCCAGTTTATTGGTACAATAAAACACAACACTACAAAACACTCAATCTAAACTACAAATACAAGCTACATTACACAATTATTTACAAATGCACGTTAAGGCTAAAGCTAAACACAAAGGAGGCCCTTAGGCCTCGCGTCCCGCGATATCCTAGATCCGGTCGCCACCCACTTGCCTGCCAGTCCCTGCGTCTCGGTCGCGTCCGGAGTTCTTAGAGGCCTCTCGCCCCCTGCCCCACCGAGTATATCTCTCGATGGGCGAGGAGGTTTCTCCTCGCCTGCCACGGGGGCGCCTGCAGCGCCCTCCAGTGGCTAGGAGAGAAAGCGGCGCGTCGGGAGCCGAATTCGAGATCCCGATCGACCCCGCGGCAACACGACCATGTGATCGTGTCGCGGCCAAGATTGGCCGAATGGTTTGATGGGCGCCCTCGTGAATTCACGGTGCGCCATACTCCCCTCTCCTAAAAATCGAAGTACGCCGGAATTCAGACGTACGGCTAGGCTGCTGGGAACACCGTCGCTTGGTTTGGCCTGGAGACCCCCCCCCACACGCACACACACACCGCTGGTCCGAGGGATCGTCCTCACTGAGGTCCATCAGTCATCCCGAGCACCTCACAGTAGACTGTGTCGACTTCAGGTTGGCGGCGGCCTCCGGGGCAACGGGGTCCTTGAGCAGTGTGCCTGGCCACCATGAGACTGGCCCCCCCAGGAAGTGGTGCACTGGAGAGGGACTGTGGTTGTGACCCAGCTGCGACAGCCCTCCCGGAGCGATGCGGGGCTGGAAGTCCAATGTCACTGAGAACTGCACCCCGGCGTCCTGTGTGGCGTCGCGGACGTCCAACGAGGCTCCCCGAGCTGTGGTTCCGGCCGGGGAGTACGCTGCCCGAAGACGAGGAGTTCAGCCCAGGCTGGTGTTTGTCCAAACGGCGACTCCTCCTTTCATCCTCTCCCAGAGAGGACCATTCGGTGCACACCAAGTTGCGTCTCGAAGCAGCAGCCGCAGGGGCGATGACGCACAAGACGGGAAAAGTCCAAGGCGTGCGCCCAGCGAGGGAGCAGTACCCCAACACCAACAGCAACGCCGCACAAACAAAAAAAAAAAAAAAAAGAAAAACATTCCACAGCAAAAACAAGAAACAAAAACTAACACTGAGGGTTCCGAGACACCCCTCCCCCACCCACAAAGAAAAACAAAAACACAATGCCGGGAACGCCGATTTCGGATCGTTCCCCCCTCTTCTTCCCTTTCCCGGGCCACGCACTCTACGAGGTTCCGATCCCATCGGGTTGCCTCCGGCTACGCGTGTTGTAGCTGTGCCGCGGTGGTCCCAGGAACTCCTGAGATCGTTGGTGCCCGCGAATGCCCCTTTGCGGCCGCTTGACCGGCTCATCCCCTTCTCTGGGGAAAAAGGGTTTCAGTTCGCCGATGTGAACTGTCCCGCGGACGAGATCAGAATTCTGGTCCCTCAGCGTGTATGTCAGTCGAGACTTCTTGGAATCGATGACAAAGG